CCCCGGCCCATAGACTCCTACTTCTCCTACACAAGTCCGTTGAGCCCAGAGAACGACTCAGGCCCAAATACAACGGCCCAAGCCTCAAAGTAGCCCAGAATACTCACTGGGATGCCTTCGGCCTCCTTGGCCGAAGGCTCCAGAAACTCACGAAGTAGCCCTCTCTGACATACGAAGCCACTGGGAGAAAACGGCGAAAAACAGGAGCCTTCGGCATTACCAAGCCCTCGGCATCAGGGGAGCCTTCGGCTGAACTTAGCCCCCTGCCACTCGGGGCCTTCGGCTACACAGGGGTCCTTGGTTACACGGAGCCCTCGGCTACACAAGAAGCCTTCGGCCAAGCATGCTCAATCATCGAAGATTCCTTTTGGGGACAGCCAACCACCGCATTTAATGCCACGTCACATCCGCCAACCGCATTCAATGCGGTGAACGTACCACTGCCGGTGCCAACCGGTTGATGTGACCCTTCGGCCGTTGGATTACTGACACGTGTCCTCTCATCGCATTTATTGCTGCTATAAATAGCAACCCATTTCTCCTTGTAATCGACAACATCATCATCTACATCTCAACTCCACATCTCGAGTTCATTTAATAAAATCGACTCTCTCTCCTCCTATTTACTCTGACTTCTCTCTAAGTTATTCCCGCAATAACCCCTCGGACAAGATACCCCCCGGGTAGACTGTCCATCACAGGCTTATTAGCCAACTTTTTCACCAAACACGTAACGTTTGCTTTCACGCGGTGAATTGTATAATAAGCAGAAAAAGTAAGGTGAGAGTTACTTTTCTGGCTGTTTTGGCTGAAGTTATTGTAGATGACCATTTTAACTATTTTTACATATAATTTTTTCTTTATTTTATTAATAAAATATATTTTAAAAATATTTTTTTCTTAAATCAACAGAATCAGCTAATGTAACCACTTTAGTCAGAACTTCATAAATTTCAGCGGAATCAGCCAAATCAGCCCATTTTCGTGCTACCAAACGGGCTCTAGGAGTGAATAAACTAAGTTTTTCCGCCCAAATACTTAATAGCATTCCACATTGGGCTCTGAAAATGAAAAAATTGGAAATTTAGCATTGAACCCACACGGGTAGTAACTCAGTTGGTTGAGTGGTGGGAAATTTGGATCAAGGGACCAAGGTTCGAATCCCGCAGCAACCGAATGGGGGTCACAGCCTCTGAAATGGGTTGGACCTCTGACGCGCACGGGTATATGGGCCTACTGCCACTTCACCAGTTGAATCATCGTGATTTACATCTTCTCATCTGCCTTGTCGGGTCAGGGCGTGGGGGGCTCCGGGAGTGGAAGATCCCACCTTTTTTGGATATAGAAATTTAGCATTGAACAGCCAAAAGAAGATTAGCAAAAGGCAATTGATAATGGGCATGACTATCATTAATCAATAAGCTGGTTGAATTCAAATGGGGGAAAGCGAAGAAGAGAGGAACAATAGAGAAACGGTCACAAATCAAAAGAATTTAGTGGAAAAATCATTTGTGTGAAAAAGTCAAACCTGTAACTCTACAATCAATTTGTTCTTTATTATACTTTTTTAAAATATTATTACTCCGTATGATATATATTGGTCTAGACTTAAAAGACTTTACCATTTTCTTATCAAAATCAAGCTCATTATACATCACTCGGTCACTCCTAGCCTCCTAGGCCTTCAAAAAGGCAAGCCGGTCCGGTAGGATCTTATACTACGTATAAGTTTATTAAATCCATAAATGAGATCACATTCATATGTATTGTTAATTGTTATCTTAACGTAAATTCTACTCAGTATTTCCGAATTTGCAACAAATTGTGCAAATACTTATCTATTCCACCGCAATAAAGTACTCAATATTGATTCATATGCTCCACCTTCCCTGTATCACATACTACGTAACTTAAACATCAAATTATCTAATAAATCACAACCACCGAATCATTAATTCACTCCCTTAATAAATACCAAGTACTACGTATGATTAAAACATTATTACAAGTTTTTTCAAATACAATAGCATTGCTTTTCTTCCCAAAATGATGTTCATGGAATATTATAGGAGAGTTTATACACTCTTTTATTCTTTAAATAGGATTAAATAAGTTTGCACGTGATTTACTCATATCTTGAGCCAAAATCAGGGGCGGCCCTAGGGGTGCAACAGGGGCGACTGCCCTAGGCCCAAGAAAATAGGGTGGAAAATAGACCCAAAAATATTTCTTTGTATGTAGTGCGAGTAGCTTTTTTTTTTTTTAATTTTTAACCTCAATTAATTGGTTAAAGGTTTAATTTTTAAAATAAATGCTAAGTGGCATACCTGACCTCTCTTAATTCTCTTTGAATCTCTAAGTTTTATAATCCTTTTAATTACAAAATTGTGAAGTTATGTTAGGCCTCCCAAGTCCAAAACTCCCAATTTGCAAAGCCCATCCGAATTGATTTGTTGTTTCCAAATTCCAATATCAACAAGAGTAAAGAACGTTGCAAAGCAGTGAGCACCTCAACGGTTTGTTAAGAATTAAAGTCAATCAATCGAGGAGCCCAAACGGCGGTCGGTGACCAAAATACTTCTTCTTTCAAGGTTTCAAACAATCCATCCATGATCAATAAATTGTTCTTGATAAAATTGGTGAGTCAAGTTGGGATAAAGAGAGAGAAGAAGATTAAAAAGACAAGGTTAAGTTAGAAGGGATCAATGGAAAGTTTTGTTTTTGTTAATAAATATAATCTTGAAAATTTCGTGAGAACTGTTTTTAAGTAATGTTTTTGTTTTTATATGATACTTGTATTGTTACTTTTCACCAAATATGTAATTTAAATAATAATAATAAAATGAGTTTCATTTTTAATTAATGACCTTTATTAGATAATTTTATTATAATTATTATTTTAAATAAATATAGTTTATTATTTGTCTTGAACATAAGCCTAAAATATTATCTCGCCCATAGGCCCGAAAATAGACAGGACCGGCCGTGACCAAAATCTTTTTTTTTTGTATCAGGCATAATACTTCTCTTTAATAATATTAGAAATATACACGTATTTTAATGTCTGAAATTTGCACAAATGGTTCCTATCATGCCACAATGTTTTCTCATGTTTGTTAGGACAAAACTATTTTCGGACATTTTCAGAACCTTATCTATTTATATTCAAAAAAGAAAATTATTATACGGAGTATTCAATATTAGGACTATAAATATTTTCATTTTTAGTCTCAGATCAGACTTAAATAGACTAGACCGGAGAAGTCTTAAAAAGATCAGACTTTCATAGTTATAAAATACATAGAGATGATATATTTATCAAACCAGAACAGACTTAAACAAATCAGATCAAAGCAACAAATTTCAAATCCAAGTAAACAGATTAGACGAGAGAAGAGTAAAACATATGAGACTTTGATAGTTATAAAGTACAAGCTATACATTTACCAAACGAGATATGTAGTTTAGTTTTTAAATAATGGGCCGAGCCACCCATGGCACTACGTTAAATATGTTTAGTTTGTTTTTCTTTTTGGCTAAAGGGTCAAATATGTCCTTGAACTGACTTAAAGTGTTCAATTAGCCCCTTATATAGAAGGTTCTGCCCGGCCGTCGTCAATTGGGGCGGTTCCCGGTGGAATTTTTTGATGAAATTTTTTGAGCATCTTCTTCATTAAGTCTAGTTTATTCATACCAAATTTCAGCTAAAAATTCAACCGGGAAGGCCGTCAAATGATTTTTTGAAGGTAACTGCGAAGTTAAACAGCGCAGTACATCTCGGAAAATCATTTGACTGCCTTCCCGGTTGAATCTTTAACTGAAATTTGGTATGAGTAAATTAGACTTAATGAACTTCCTATATAAGAGACTAATTGAACACTTTAAGTCAGTTCAAGAGTCTATTTAACCTATAACCCTTTTTTTACCTATAACATGGCAGCGTTTCTTGAACCGTTCTGGTCCACGACTACACGCCTGACCCAGCCAGTGTTCTAAAAGGCTCTATTAGGCGACGCATAGGCGCGCCTATGCGCAAGGCGTAGAGCAAACGCCCCGCACACCTCGAGGCGTGCTAAAAGGCGCGTTAAGCCTTTGAAATCCGAAAAAAAACTTAAGTTAAAGCTGCTGGGCCGCATTTAGTCCCACGTGCAAAGCACAGCTACCTAGCCTTTACCTTGTAAATTTAAACTTCTGATGAATGACTTAATATATAGGCAGTCAGGAGGAGGATTCATCTTATCCTTTCCGGTGTGGGATTGTGGAAACACTAAAGCTGTACTCCGTACTAGAATTACGTTGCACCTATATGCTTGCTTACATTCTTTATTGCTTAGTTTTGAGTTTACATCTACTCCGTATTATATTGCTTATATTATATAACTATATTTAAACTTTAATTCAATCACTTTATTTTTTATTAATAATAATTAACATTATTGTATTATCTCTACTAAAAAGTAATGGTGTTTTACTGTTATATTATTATTTTTACTCTTGTTTGTTGAAATAATATGCTTAATATTGCTATTAGTATTATCATTATCAATATCATATTTTAAAATTTCTTACTTGTATAGTAGATGCATATATAATGAGTCATTGATAGTTTTTCAAAATTGTATTGTCCGAAAATGTAAAAGTTCGATGCTTTTAAGTGGTATATTCTGCATTACATGTGTATATTTATTACTTTTTCAGATCAAGTTTTTGTATAATTAGTGAATTTATACTATGTATTTGTTGGATTAATTAGGACTCGACAAACACCTTTATGCGAAAATGAGAACAATCTGATGTTTTTCAATAACATTATTTATTTTTTATATTTAAATATTTAAAACTATCTTTACGAATATTAAAATAAATGATAAGTAATCGAAACGCCTTTTCACGCCTAAGTCCCGTCTAAGCCCGCCTAGGCTTCAAAGGCTTAAGGCTTAGGCGTGCCGCCTCGGCACGCCTTACGCCTTTTAGAACATTGGACCCAGCATTTAAATCCCACAAAAAAACATCTTTTTTTGATTTCTGTACATCTCGTCTTTATAAACAAACTTTCCCAGATTTTTTTAAAAGTTTGACCAACAAAGGAAGAGATGAAAGGATGGTTGAAGATCACTTTGGTGGCGGTTTCGTGTGGAACCATTCTGTCCCTTTTGTTGATTATGATCATTCAAAAAACATGTAACCGCAAAAGACGCAGAGATCGTTTCGAAGAAGGAAGCCCAGAAATTGCAGAAAACGCTCACTCCGCCGCCGCCGCCGCCGGAATAACTCAACTTCAACATGTGAGTCTCCACCATCTTGACCGAAACGGAACCGGTAAAATCAATTACTTCGTTTTCCGCCGTGGGCCGTCGGCGAAGCCCAATTTCAGTTGGGCCGATCACCCTTCTCTGGTCGCAGACGCCGTCGACAACGGATGGGCGAACTTCGGGTTCACCGCGCACACACCGCCGCCTCCGCCGGCCCGATCGGCCAGGTCTCTGCTCGGCGCCTGCGGCGCCGCTGATATTCATCCGGCGGTGAAGATAAGCTGGGAAGTCTCCCCTGGTTCATCGGATTTGGTACAGAAAATCAAATTCAGATGCAATTCGGACCACATGAAGAGAATCAGCAGCATCAGAAACAAGTCGCCGGTAATGACCGCCGCCTCTGTTCTGAAGACTTCGCTGCCTCTGCCGGGCCCACAATTGGGGACTTCATCTTTCCCGCAGGAAGCCTATTTCGAGATCACGATTTTGCCATGTGATGAGGATGAAGATGAAGGGCGCAGATCTCAGGATGACAAAATTAACCTCATTCGAGAAGACTATAATGCCAAATCTGCGGTCCACGCCATGAGCAATAGGGAGGATAATGGAAAGGGGAATAGGAAACACAATAACAGTAACCATGTCGCTATCTCCATAGGACTGAGTGGAAGTGGTTGTCTTCCATTCCGGCTTCCGGGGAGCTATCCTGGTTCCATTGGATTCCATTCTAATGGTTCTGTCTGTCTTGATGGTATTTTACTTGACATTTCTTTTGTTTCTGAAGGAATTTTTTGGTTTCTTTTGTTTCTGAAGGATAAATCATCACATTGAAATAAAAAATACATCACACTCAATTTTAAAAAAAGAGGTTTTTCTTGAATTATTATAGAAATAAAACTTATTCACAAAAATATGATTAAAAGTTAATACAATAGTCTCATTCATAAAATGTGAACTTGAATATAAATTACAATGACAAATTACAATGACAAAGTTGTTTTTATAGTCACTACAATCAGAAAATCACATTATTATAACCAACATTTTTTTTGTTTTATTCATATATATATATATATATATATATATATATATATATATGCAATTATTTCGTGAAATAAAGTGAGTAAATAAGTAAACCTGAATTTTTTTTGTGATTGAATTTAGTACTGAAGTAGACAATTTTAGTTTTTCAATACAATTTTTTCTTAATTTTAGCAGTATATATCGAGTATGTTTTAAATTAGAATTCCAAAATCTATAATTTGAATTATAACTTCATCTATTATAACAAATTAAGCTGATTTCATGAGACTCTTGGTTTTAAGAGTTCTTTATAAACTCAATTCTCTTGAGTCTTGGCCTTGACACTTTTCTTGCTTTTAACTTTTTAAGCTTTTAATTGAGAAGACTAAAAAGAAATTCAATAGTGATACTAAAAGTGTCATCATACTCCGTACAATACTCAAAGAAGTTTTAAAAAACTTAACAACCAAATTTGAGTTTATATTACGGAGTATTTCTTTTCTACATAAATTTTATCCATACTATTTTTACATTCTTAGAATATACTCCGTATGACAGTAAAAAATAAGGCAAAATGATGTGTGATGGAGAGTATTATTTTTCTGAGATTGATAAAAACGTAAATGCAAAAAAAAGTATGCCTAATATAGCTTATATTTTAAGAAAAATAAAAATTTAAGTTCTACTTAAAATATTAAACATTTAATTGGGTAGAAGAAAGTATAGTATAAAGATACAACCCAACTTGTAAAGCATATTCAGCTTATAAATTCTGTGTGCGGATTTGGTTAGGGATGGTGCTGGTGTATGAAGGGGAACCATGGGGAAGAACAGAAGAAAAGGTTATTGGATGCGGGTACAACCCAAGCCAAAAGAAGGTGATTTTCACAGTGGATTCACTTCTTATGCATGAAATTAAATGCAAATCAGAGGAATTTGGAAGCCCTCTATATCCAACTATAGCAGCAAATGCTGACATCACAGTCGTGGTTAATCATGGCCAAAGTGTTTTCAAGTATGGACCAGCAAATATGGGCAGAACATCAAACCCTAGCTTCAGTGGTCCCCTGTCAAACAATTCTACTTCAGCTATAGGATATGATGAAGACAGCAAAGAGCTTTTCTCCATTGGGAGGATTGAATCTCTTCAATGGCTGAATAGAAACACAACTGCAGCAAGAACGTACAGTAATGGTGTGAAGCAGCAGCCAGAATCAGACTTGGAATCTGATGGGGAGTTATTTGAAATTATGTTGGATGGTTATGGGAAAAAACCCCAACACTCTACAGCAACACTATGAGGAAAATCATCATTATTAGGTTATAGATTTTTTAATTTATTTTTTACTTGTTTGTGAATGTTACTTATGGTACAAGGCTGAAAAGTTTTGTCTGAATTTCAGGCCTTCTTGTAACTAGAGATTTGTGAATGAGAAAATTGGTAAAAATTGTGTGTGAAAACGCAGTTTAAACTTCAAAGTAAAACTCTTAAAATACAAGTCCTTTTTTATTTCATACAGCACAAATTTAGTTCTGGTACACTCACAAAACCTTCAATCCCAACTTGCAAAATGTACAAAGCACAAATTGTATGAGATGACTACACTCAAAGAGATCAAAACACTATATGTGTTCAATCTACTGGTTGCATTATATTCTTAACAATATAACTCTTTAACTCTTTGATGGCAATACAGCATTTGATATTCTGACACGACGTGAAGATGCTACTAACAAGACATAGACGAAGTCACAACTTACAACACCAGAAGGAGTAGTGCTCATCTTTCCTGAGGGTGCTAACCAGTCCCCCACACTGATAACAGACGAAGCTACTTCCATCAGAGAAGGCATCCTCCATAACCTGTTTCCTTCCAGTCTCTGAGAGTATTGAAGTTCCACTCTTGTCTATTTCTACACGTTGATAGGGCTCAGTTTGTGAAGGCGTAATAGCAAATTCGGAAAACAAAGAAGCCAACTCATCTGCAGCTGCACTTGCATGCACTTTATTACTGTATAGCTCCCTAGCACGGCTAAGCAATTGATGAACAGCCTCTTCCCCATCTCTTGATCTTATTGCCACCACCACCTGTCAAGTGTTAATCAGGAGGATCAATCATGGAAAATCCTAATATATGTAAAAAGTAACAGCAGAAAACCACTCAACGATCCTTAATTTGGCAATAGGCATCCGCCCAGCTGGATGACCATTAAACCATCCTACCCTGCATGCCATACCAAACAATCGTGGAACTACTTTAACATAAAATCTAATAGCAAAAAAAAGGAAATTTGTAGAGGAACAGAAACCACTTTGAGTTCATTTTGGAACCCAGAATATGCTAGGGGAAGTAAATGATAAAGAAAAGAGATAAGAAACTCTGAGAAAGTAAAATTGGGGTGAATAAAAAAATTCAAACTCAACAAATCAACTCAAAATGTGAATGTTGAGTTGATATTTATATTTCTTTTACAGAGCATAAGGACTACAGAATCTAAAGATATGTGAATATTCGAAAAGCTATAACTAAAGTTTATTTTACTGCATATTCCCAAAGTAAAACCAAACATTAAAAACAACTGTTTTCCTTAGCTAATTTTTCTTATGTGACAATTTGCCTATATCACTTTGTGTTCATTTCGGAACCCAGAAAATGCTAGAGGAAGTAAATGAGAAAAAAATTATGAAAAATTCTAAGACAGGAAAATTTGGGGGAAATAAAAAAATCAAGCCCAATAAATCAATTGTAGATATTTGTTCAGCCTCATTTAATTCTTATATTTCTATCACACAAAGTATAAAGACAACAGAATCAAAAGATGTGTGATTATATAAAGTCATAATCAAAGTTGTTTTTACTTCATAATTCGAAGGTGAAACCAAACATTAAAAGCATCTATTTTCCTTGGCTAGTTTTTCTTTCGCTACAAATTTCCTAGACCCAAGCATTGCCTAGATGTTAAATTTCACAAAAGGGATCTGGTTAAGCTAATTTGGGAAGTGTGTAAGATCAAATAATGTACTAGATTGGGGTGCCAGTTTCCCCTTTCAGCATTGGGCATTTCCTTTTCAACCTAAACAGTATTAAGCAGGCTTAATGGCGGACTGATTTACAGGAAAAAGATATTTGTGAGCAAGGAAAATATAATCTCGTTGTAAACAGGGCTGTTAGCTTATAACATCGTTTTCTGAAAATCTGAGTCGAAGTTAGACAATTATGGTTGTATTATAATGGCCCAAAAGAGTAAAGCATATCAATTTCAAGCTCATAACGTTGTCTTCATTAGCTAAGTGCTCCAATTAACATAGGCGAAAGTAGCAAATTCGCAAGAGCAATATAAAAATTGGACACAATAGCTAAATCAATAGAATCTGCCAGAAAAGTACTGAAAATCTAAAACAACGATATAGAAACAGAACCCAAAAACGAAATATCACCGCTTGGAGAGCCTGTGATGGCATGTTTTGATCGATGAGTCGGCGAGCCATTGCGAGCAAATTCCTGACGAATTCATCCTGGTCTGAACTGGAATATGATGATCCAAGAGGAGGGTGAGGATGCGAGGAAGACGGCGGGGTGGAGGATTCCGCCTCAATCATATCAGCGTCAATACCATCCATAGCATTTCAGTTTGTAGCGTTGAATCAGCACAATAATTTCAATTCTGCTCCCCAATCAGGAACCTCGCAAATGAAAAGGAGAATTTAAAGATTTTTTCCAGATGTTTCTAGCATTTTCTGCATTCGCCCGCGACCTGCTTCTGTACTCGTCGGAGTAAGATCGTCGCCGTGCGGTAGGGAGACTTGGGCCGTTTAATTAAGGATGCATAATGGGCACACAAGAAAATTACAGATGCTTTAAAATCTGTATAGGCCCAACTACTTTCTAAGTACATTTCAGGAAACAGTGAATTTTCCGATTTCTATGTTAATAGGGATATTTCAGGTGATAATATATAGTAAAATAAAAGGGCAATGTTCTTAAATATGAACTCCCTATAAAATATGTAATTTTTTTCTCAAATAAGCTTATAAATACTAGTAAGGATGTTTTCTTTTGGACTGAAATTTGCTGGTCTGGTCTGGTCTGTTTAAGTCTGGTCTGGTCTGTTTAAGTCTGGTCTGGTCTGGTCTGGTATGAACTGGTCTGGTCTGGTCTGGTAAACGTCTGGTCTCTGTGTATTTTATAACTACGGAAGTCTGGTCTGGTCTGGTCTGGTCTGTTTAAGTCTGGTCAGGTCTGGTCTGGTCTGTTTAAGTCTGGTCTGGTCTGGTCTGATCTGTTTAAGTCTGGTCTGGTCTGGTCTGGGACTGAAAACAGTCCAAAAGAAAACATCCTAAGACGTAAGTACATTGGATTGCTCAAAATAATCTTTACTTTATACATTAAATAAATAAATTTGATGACTGGAGATCACAATCACCTGCCGACCTTTACTGCTTAATCCAAGATCTTCAATGCTAAACTCTAAATCATAAACCATAACTCTAACTATAAAGGCTAAATCCTAAATTCCAAAATGTAAAACTTTAAAATCCAATGGCATTTTAAGTTAGAATTATTACACTTTTTAAGCACTACAGAAGTCGTAATTAAGGAATAAAAAAACATCCGAAAGTTGTGTTTTAATGTTAGATAGGCCCCAATTGGTGTCAAAATTAGGCGTTGAACAAACAATATATTGGGCATCGTTAATTGGGATCGTTGCGTGAAGTAGCATGTGCTTCGATGATTGTGCAACCACTTCGTGACGAATCCATTTTTGTTGCACATATATTTGGGCAACCAATATTAGGCTTCGGGCAACACTTTCTTTTAATGCCCTAACTACTTTTTCTTGTAGAGGCCGTAAAGAGTGATTAACTCGCACTACAAGTCAATGCTATTTTGTGTGAAGCTCAACTCGTATATATATTATCGATATGCAGGATATGGTACTATCATTTAGGTTTGACCCTTACATTGTGTGATACAATGTAAAAGACAATCCTAAATGATCGTACCATTATTTGTGTGCTACTAATCTACTATCTCTTCAAATTATAGGAATAGTTGTCATTCTATTCTTCTTCTATACTAGCGAGTGACTCTTTTCTTTGTACAATTTTGTCATTAGAAATCTAGCTAATTTCAAATTTAGTGAAACTAATCGTTAAAAAAAAAGTAATTTTTCATGTTTTAATATGTACAGAGTACTTCTTAACTAAGATTATTGATATGTCATGTTTTTACATTTTATACTCTGTATAAGATAGTTTAACCCTTCAAATTTTTATTGTTCAATTACTGGACAATCCACATCCACACAATGAGCTGACTTGTCCAGCTCTTGGCTTCTATGATTAGTGGAGGATCGGAAGGTCGAACGAACGCCCGCAGTGCTTATGTGATGGTCGGTATTATTTAGACATTACATTATACGTAGTAGTTTACCACTCCATTATCATATTGTGTTTTTCTAATAACCATTTTAGTTATATTATATACTACTACTATTTATCAATCACCTAAGGATGCATAGGCACAACATACTTAGGTGATTGATAATTTTTCTTATATTTTCAGGCTCAATGACGTATAGTACAACTACTAAACCATTTTATTCCATTTTTCATGTATTTATGACCCTTTAATAAGTCACAAATACTTGTTAGTTGTTACGTATCAAAATACTTAGCTTTGTTGTAATACTTCACATTTACTACTTCATACTCTTAAGTTGATTAGAGATGGGAAATTCTCAGGAAGGTGGGTGTAGTCTAATGGATCTCAAATCTCTCCTTTGTGAGAGATTCGATCTTGAGTTCAATTTCTACCTAGGGGAGATGAAGAAAGTCTTGCTCCCAAGGGTGGATCTCATGTTGTTCAAAAGTGTTGGGATGAACATCCCAAAAAATGAAAACAATGCATAATCAACATGCACTTAAGCAAAATGTTAGATCCATCACTACTTGTTCGCCATGATTCTTCCTACCTTCACGTAATAGGTCTAATAGTGTTATCCATATAAGATTCCAACAACTTACTCACATCTTAGGTTGCTTTTCTTCATACTTCCTCTGTTCCCTTTTAATTGCAACAGTCAACATTTCACGTTTGCCAACGCACAAGTTTGACCATTAATATCTTTCATTCCTTATTAGTAAAAAATTCAAAAAAATCATATTTTGAAAATTTAGAATGAGAAGAATTTAATAATATTTTTAAAAAAAAATTATTTATAATACATTAATGAATAAAATATAGTCAAAGTAGAATATGTGAATAGTGCAAAAAGTCCAATGTTGCGATTAAAAGAGAACGGAGGATAGTATTTGGTTGCCCATTGACGGATAGACGAATTAGTTGATTATTGCGCCATTTTTACTAATTTTGACTGTGGGTTTGCTAGCTAAATTCAGTATTTTTGGGTAACAACTTGTTCAAACCACTTGTCCCCTCGTGAATGGAAGTACCGTCGCCGGTCAGTTCGTTTTTGTTTGTAGTTTCTTCCTGTTTTGTTTTCTCGACTAAGCTACCACCATCCTACTGTGTATTGGACATCCACTAATGTAATGACATTCATGTCAAGTAACATAAGAATGTGTGAGAAAAAACTGTCAATTTGGTCCTCGTACTATAACGAAAAAAACAAATAAGTCCTCATACTTTAAAACAAAAATCAATCAAATTTTCGAATTTTGTGAAAACGTTCAATGAGTCCATTAGCAAGTTATCTGTCACGTCAACAAGTCACATGCAGATGTGGCACACATGTGACAGCCCAGTCAGTGACTTTGTTGTCGTGGTGCACATGTGGAAGCCTAGTCAATTATTTGCCGATGACGTGACGCACACATGAACTGCAATGCACGTGTGCGTAACGTCAGCGAGTGACCTGCTGACGTGGTAGGTAACCTGTTAGATGACTAAATTGAACTTTTCTTTAAATTCAAGGATTTGATTGATTGTTTTTAACTTATGAGGACCTAATTGACTTATGTGATTATTGATTAATATCGAAATATATTATGTATGTGATTAACTTACATAGTTTAGCGGGAAAAAGAGAATGAGATAAAGATGCACGTGTATGTAGCATTATTATATTATTTCCATTTCAATTTATTGTAATATTGTCATACTCTGTCACAATATACTACGTATATTATAGCCTTATTATTGATCTTTTTCTCTTATATTTCAGTAATTCAGTTTGCTTTAAAAAGTTAATACGTATTAGAAATGGAATTGTGTGTTTCAAATGTATTTAGAAAGGACTCAATATTAATTAATTACATAAAACGGAGTACCTACTTTTGATAAAATTAGAAGATAATTTACCCGCACAAAAGAATAGTAAGAACAATATGTGAACAAAAGAGTATGAAAGTATGAATTTATACGTTTCAAAATTAACACATTTTGTCAGGTTATTGATTTAATCTCCGGAGAACTCTTTACCCCTTTTTATCTTCATACTTTTTCACATTCATTTCTAAATTTTGGTGAACTGACATTTAGAACCTGTTTAGAAACATTGAAATTTGTTGAATACTAATTTTACTGAATTCGTTGAATGAAAAGTGTATTTAAGATACATCTTGGTGATACAGTAAAGAAAATGTATATGAAAAAACCAACTAAATTGTACTCTTCAATAATATATGAAGCAGTTCAATAAGAAAAATATTTTCAATTTAATTTATTTTGATTATTACCCAATCCAACACACTCAAAAACCACGTATTTAGTTAAAAAGTTGAGTTTTTTACATAAATATTACCAATAGTATTTGGGGTTTCAATAAAGTGACCAATGGTAAGAAACACATTTTGCAACGTGAGAGTAGGGATGGACTCGGGCCGGGCCAACCGGCCCGGAACCGGACCGGCCCGCTACTGTGCGGGACCGGACCGGCCCAGTGAACCGGTTCGTGCCCGGTTTGGGCCTCCCGGCCCGGTGGTATAGCGGTCCGGGCCCGGGCCTCCAGTTTAGTGAACCGGCCCGGCCGGGCCCGGTTCGGGCCGGAATTTATTTATTTTTTTTTGAAATTCTTTTAAGTTTTGGGTTGGATTAGGTATTTTGGGCCATTTGAGGTGGTTTGGGGTGGAGGGGTAGGGGTAGGGGGTTAAATAAGAGAAGAAGAAAAAAAAATTAAAATTCCGGGTGGCCCGGCCTGGCCCGGTTCTGGCCCGGAACCGCCCACCACCGGTTCGGGCTCGGGCCTCATTTTTCTGAACCGAGGCCCGGCCGGGCCCGAACCGGAACCGGTCCACCCCTACGTGAGAGTAAGGTGGGGAAAGAAGTTATAGTTTTGTTAGTGGAGTTTAAAGTGATTATATTTGTGTAATTTTTTCTAAAAAGTTGGATAATAAAGCTAATAAGCTAAAATTATGACTTATCAAATAGGCTCTTAAATATATCCTTGTAAGGCTGATGTTTCTGGAAAAATTTCAAGTAAATTTCTATGCCCAATCAAAAGGATAGTTTTTTTTCTTTTTTTTTAACTCATTGGTGGTCTAGTAAATGTGGGAAACATTTATCAGATTGTATTCAAATGAAGAAGTTTAAATCCTAGTGAGTAGTGACCGTTATTTGTCCTGCGTTGACCAGTGTGTATGCTTGGATGTTTTTTGTAGCCCAAAGATGAGTGGAATATGTACTGCAGAGTGGTTTAGAAAAGAGAAATTATAAACTTCGGGAAGGGAAATCAATTGATCAAAGGCTTGCCGGTATCAAAAAGTGGGGGCCTCACTCCAGTCAAAATATGAATATATACAGTTTACAATCTACTTGTGCCAAAAATAATGGTAGACGCTTAAAGAATAGCCCATCCTCATACATAATAGGCTGCTGCATCTTTGATCTCCTGGATCATCTTCAACACTTGCCACAAGGTGGGCCTCTGCTCAGGTGATGCCACCCTGCACACCATCGCCACCTCAGCAATCATCTCCAACTTATTCCTCCCATTCTCTTCTTCCTCCCCATCATCCCTACATGACCTCACCCAATCCATCAACACATCACCCTCCAACGAAACCGGGTGTTCAGACGGGAGCTTCCCAGTCAGCAGCTCTAGTAGCACGACCCCGTATGAGTACACGTCGGACTTGGAAGTAGGTTGGTGGTGCCGGTTTGGTTTTCTCGTCTCTGGGGCCTTGTGGGCCAATGAAGACGAATTCGGGTGGTCTTCGTCCGAAAACGGGTTGTACAGAACGGAGAGGCAGTAATCGGAAATGCAGGCCTCGAAATCAGGTCCTAAGAGGACGTTAGAGGACTTAAGGTTGCCATGAACTAGCCTCCAGGCTTGATGGATGTAGGAGAGTCCTTGAGCTACATCCTCTGCTATTTTCAAGCATGAAGTCCAATGTAGTGGCTTTGCTCTAGATGACTTTGACCCTGAAAACCAAACAACATTTGAGATGATTTATCCATTACACAAAATTTCCATAAGCTAAACTAGATCAGATAATGTCGGGTCCTTTAGCTGGAAGCATTTTAGAATACTCAAAAAACTTTGTCGAGAAATGTAGAATTATCGAGAACGATACATTGAAGTTCAATTCCCAGATAATCAACTACTATCTTAATATCTTAGTGCCTATTTTAACACAACCCAAAACAAAGACAAGACAAGTAGCATGTACATATATAAAACCAGATCAGAAAGCATCAATGGAAGAAAACAAGTACTAGGATTTAAGAGATGTCCAGGCTGGATGTAAATTAAACTGAAGTGGGCACTTTGGTAAGGGGGTAGGGTCAGTATATGACCAACACAAATTAATGATTCACATAAAACAGGGAGGGCCCTCCGCTTGAAGGCACTTTAAATGATTAACAAAAGAAGGCCAGGTCTTTATTCATTCTCTCTATAACGGTGGACCCACCATGGGCTCCTCTTCTTGAGGGTAGGGAAGGTCCAAAAGAACTAGGGTTACGATTGTACACTTTTTGCAAGCAGTCCTTGTGCCTTTGCCATTGTCGAAGCTCTTAACCTCAAGCTCAAAGGAAGATTTTGGAGGGAAGAGGGGAAAGTGAAGAGTATTATTTTATGCAAGTTTGGTTGAAGAATTTCGGAAGGTTTACAACTTTACATTATCAAAGTATTTTCAATTTTGCAACAAAAAAGGCACTATAAAACATTTGTAGTAATATTCATCTTATACTCTTTATTTTCTATGAAATAATTCATCTCCATTGTTCCATCAAACTAAACACGGCATTTGTTTTAAACAATTCCACCCCTCCCCTTTCGCGATCGAAAATTGCTATCTTCCGGTTTAGGACAAGGCTGAGGGGCTGCTTCTACTCATTCTGGTGATCAATTTAATAAGTTTTTTTAATCAAAAACTCCACTTTAGGATAGGACAAATCTTTTTTTAATCAACACGTTATAAAATTAAATTCTCAGATTGAAATTATAGTTGTACAGAGCAGATCATAACTATAGTCTATACATAGCCCTATACTAAATTATTCCCTTATCCCTTTGAACCTCTTTCCTTATTAGCTTAACAGGTAGACATCTCTTAAAATCAACTAATATCCTAAAACTATATGAGCTTTATTAACATATAAGCCACAAAAATAAGCATGGATCAGAATGTTAATTGTTGGAGTACTTTGTATTAAATACGGAGTATATTATATCACCCCTGACTCACTTTCCCAACTTAGAGCCATAATTCACAGATAGGCATAGCCTGTCTCTATTTTTGGTCCTCATTGACTGTGCTGTCAACTCCTAAACCTTGACAATTACCAAAATTGGTTACCATTCATGCCCCTTATATGGGCTTCTCAAGTAAACTTAACAATTTCTTCCAGAGTTGAAAACTTTGACCAACATTCACACACATTACTAATCAATATACACGACTTCAAAAAAATTGAAATAAACAAGTATTATGCAATGTTAACTTTTGCAATTAAAGTCACAGCCAAAATGGAAGATCATAAAAGCAAGGAAAATTGAAAAGGAGTAGTTTTGGGAAGGTACCATGGATGAGAGAAAAGAGGCTGCCATTGGGGTGGTAATCATAGACTACAAGCCGCTCATCCTGAGCCTGAAAATAAGCCCGGAGAGGAACCAGATTCGGATGCCTCAACCCGGCCACTGATCCCATGTGCCGTTCAAACTCCTCCCTACACGTCCCGGACATCCTCCCCGAATCCAGTCTTTTCACACAAACAATCAGACGGTTGTCGAGCACCGCCTTGTAGGTAGTCCCCATCGTTCCCCTGCCGAGAAGCTCGGCCGAGGCTCTCAGCAGCTGCTCCAGCGTATACATTTGTGACTCACCCACAGAGAATACCAAGTTTCCACTTTTCCCCATTACCTGCATTCCTTCTTGCACCCTCCTCACCTTATCTTCCAGCTCGCTGCTTTCTTCTTCCATTCTCGTCACCACCCCTGGATCCAGTGCAAGTTTCGGAGCAGATTCTATAGGCTTGCTTGATTTTCTTGCAGCCATAGCGAAGCATATAACGGAACAAATTAGAATAAAGAAGCCTAAGGATAACCCGATTATGAGAACGGGTCTTTTCGATTTGGGTTTGTTTCCCACGGGGCTGTATGGTCCGCCGTCGTGCAGTTTTGTGTTTTGATTTAACGGCTTCGCCGGTTGCGGAGGTGGGGTAACTGCGGTCGGAGATGGCCGGAAAAAGGGCAGTATGGGGTGGCATTCACGGTGTAATATCTCACCGCACAGTGCCCGGTTGGAGGCAAATGCTCTCATTCTGAAGCGCGACAGTGCCGCCGTCACCGGAATAGGACCGGAGAGAGCATTATGCGAGACATTGAAGATACGGAGGGTAGTCTGGTTGAGCGGAGGAACGGGGCCGGTGAGGCGGTTAGAATCGAGGCGGAGATAGTACAACCGCCCAATGCCGTCCAGGGAGGCGGGTATGGTTCCGGTGAGGTTGTTGTAGGATAGATCGATGGCTTTCAGGCGGTGGAGAGCGGAAATCGAAGGCGGTATCAGGCCGCTGAACAGGTTATGGTCCAAGAAGAGGAGCTTGAGGTTAACCAGACCGGAAAGGTCCGGAATAGGTCCGGTGAGGAAATTTTCTTGAAGGCTCAAAGCTCTGAGCTGGTTGAGACGAGTTAGAGTTGCCGGAGCGAAAGAGCCGTCCAAACCCATTCCTTTGCACACCAAACGGACCACCCGGTCGCCGCTGCACCGGACGCCGTTCCATTTGCAGAAAGAAACGGTGGCGTTGGAAGAAAAGCCTTGAAGCTTCTTCCCGTGCAAGTCCGCTTTGAGTTTGAAGTCCAACAATGCCGAAGCGTCGGGAGGAATCAGCGAGCTGGATGCAGGGGAATGGGAACGAGCAGAGGAAGAAGAAGAAGAAAGAATGCCAAAAAGGAGTGGAAGAAGCACTGCCATGAACAACCCTTCCATTTCCGGTCGAAATAGAAAACAAGGAGCACAAGAATCAACAAGTGCGCTATAAATTTACAGTTTTTTGGGGGGTTTCCGCAGGGCAAGTCACAAGGGAATAGGGTTTAACATTTGGGGGAGAAGGAGACGAGGAAAAGGAGGCAAAAGCTTCCAAGAATGGCATGAGTTGTTTAGTACAGTACTATACTCTGTATGAGACTAGACTATGGAGTCAGGAATCACGTGAAGAGACCCAAGGATAGAGGTGGGGGATTGCCACAGACCACTATGCATTCTCTCCTTTCTCAAAACTTTGGGCCCCATAACAAGATGATTCCACCTCTAATTACTCCGTACTAATTTAGCATGTATTTAGAAGAAATGGCAAAAAGAGTAATCATCTCATCAGGCCGGCCTGACGGGCTGCCCCGTCCGGCCGAGCCCGTTTGGGCACCTTCCCGGTGAAATTTTTTAATGAAATTTTTTGAGCATGTTCCTCATTAAGTCTAGTTTGTCCATACCAAATTTCAGCTCAAAATTCGATCGGGAAGGTCGTCAAATGATTTCCGGACCAGTTAACTTGCAAAAATCATTTGACGACCTTCCCGATCGAATTTTGAGCTGAAATTTGGTATGGACAAACTAGACTTGATTAGGAACATGCTCAAAAAATTTCATAAAAAAATTCCACCGGGAAGATGCCCAAACGGGCTCGGCCGGACGGGGCAGCCCGTCAGGCCGGCCTGATGAGAAGAGCTCTCATGGCAAAAATATAGCACGTATTAGAGCTTAGTTAATGGGTGAAAAAATGGCAAAAATATTACTACAAGTTGATTTCTATATTTTTAGATGAAAACACAGCATTTGCCTTCAATTTTTAAAATTTGATTAATCTTTATTTAGTTAATATATTTTTCTTTTAATTCTAACTTCTATCCAATTAGTACATGCCCCTGTGGCTGGGACTTTGGAACCAAGAATCGTAGAATCAAACCGGACCGAACCGTTATGACCCGGTTCGGTTCGGTTCTAAAATTTATTAGTTACTCTATATTTGTTAATGGTTCGGTACCTATTTTTTATTAACGGTTCAATTCTCGGTTCCTGAAAAAGTATGTACCCAGAACCGTTAAGGAACCGTTATATATAATAATTAGAATTATATATATATATATATATATATATATATATATATATATATATATATATATATATTTCTTATTAGTATAAACTCCCTCCGTCCCAATATAAAAGGCATGCTTTCCTTTTTGGGTCGTCCCAATATAAAAGGCACATTTCCCTTTTTGGCAAACAAAACAGTGCAAAACAGTGTCAAACAATGTCTAAGCAGTGTCTAAACAGTGCTAAACAACGTTTCTCCTAAAAATTGTGTGAAAACGCAAATTTGCTCTTTATATTGGAATGGAGGGAGTATATTTTAATGTATATTTACTATCTATTTTCATCTTACATTCACTATTTTAGTTTTATTTAACTATTTGTAGTTATTTTTCATTTTAAATAGTTTTATTGGGCTTCTTTAGCGAATATCTTGTTTTGTTTTGTTTTCTAAATTTTGCAGTTTGTTATGTAATTATGTTTTAAACTCAACTTTTGAGGTTTGAAATGATGTTCAACATATTTGTATTGTAATTTCAAGCGTTGAATGTCTTTTTGACACAAATTTAACCTTGATTTATAAGATTTTTTTTAAAGGCTAGGAACGTTAAATGACAAGAACTGAATCGTCAAGAACCGAACCGGTTCCTTATTCGATTCCTTACCGGTTCTATAAAATAATTTATAAGAACCGAACCATTAGTAATATTTCTCATTTTCAAACGATTCCACATATTTTACCTGGGAAGTCAACCGGTCCCAGGCCTACATGCCCCTCTTCTCCAGCAAGACTCGCCAACGGTTGCCGCTAGGATCCGCTATTAGTCATCGTCGAAAAGGATCCACTATTATGACATGTTTAATACTTTAGTGCATTTGTGATAGCGACAAAGACATTTGTTAATGGAATATGGTGCACTAGATATTGAAGTTCTGGTCTATTTAGTGTGCTTTTTACCTCCCCATTTGGGAAAACCCTCTTTAACATTTTTTACTGTTGGGATATATTATCCCGGTCTATTACTGTTCAGGACCCCAAGACATTATTCAGTACGTAGCCCGAGCAGCTAGGTCCATTTCGGCCCATTCTGGCCCACTTTAGCCATTTGGGTCCATTGCGGCCCATGCGGCCCATTAGGGTGGATTATTTCCCCATCCCCTTTCTCTATAAATATGGGAGTTTCCCTCCATATTAGGATCCTTTTTTCCTTCTTCCACATGCTTCTTCTTCTCCCTAGAATAGCTTACAAGACTCCCTATAATGGTGCCTTTTGGACATTAGCCTAAAAAGTCCTGTGGTTTTCTCCCTTTCGGGTTTCCACGTAAAAACTGAGCTTAATCATACATATACATATATACATATATATATACATATATATATATACTATATCATGTTGGATTAACCTCAACACTGGCGCCGTCTGTGGGAATCTGTCCAAAAAGATTCATGTGTTCTACGCAAAATTGATACGAAATGGACCGATTTCAACAAAAACTAAAAAAAAAAGATGTTGGACAGATCGAGATCCAGAAATAATTGGAAGGAGCAACCATGCTCTGAGACGAAGGTGGAATGCGAACTCCGGACTGCCCCGAACTTCATCACCCTAGCCGAGGCTTTTTCATCAAGCCGGAGCACCTGGCCGACGTCATTGCAGTGGACAAATCCACCTCGCCGATTAGTACGGTTTTCCCCTGCTTCTACTGCAGCTCAACCTTGGGCCAGATGAGTTCCGCCATTAATGGCGGTTTGGGGCTCAGAAGGTGTGCACTTCGGAGCTCAGCCGACTTCCCATCGAAGATTATCCCCTCTGGTTGTCTTTGCTCTGCTGCAACCACCATCTTCACCGGCGGAAGTGGCCGGCACACGCGGCTTGCCTTTTCTAAAGGATACTCCGCATATTGCTGCTTGGACCTAAGCGCACCACGTCCGCGAAATCCAGGCCAAGTAAAAGGGTTGATATCTTGGGGAGTTGGACCGAGTCAAGGTTGGGGAAGTCCGGTAGGAAAGCAAGGCCCTCTTGGTTGGACGTACGTCATCTTGGGAGACTTGGAGTGGCTGAATTAATTGAAGTCCTTGGCTCTTGAGCAAGGTTGACCAAGTCCAAATTAAGGAGGGAATGAGGAATCAAATCTAAATTCACCAAGTTCTACAATCCCTGCTGGCCGAAGAGTTTGACTACAAAAAGCTAAGTATCAAACGAACTCCCTCATTTACTGATTAAAGTTTTATTTGGAATAGTAATTCTAAATATCAATATTGATAGTATTATTTTCATCACCATTATTTAAAAGGGAGTAAATTTTCCCAAAATGAAATAGTGCGAGCGATGCTCGGGTGATGATTAATTTCATCGTCATTTAAATTTAATGACTGGTTGTTGTGGGCCCGTCGGCCCGCTCCCGATCGGCTTTAATTAGCGAACGGAGCGTATCTGAATTGCCTTTGGTAGGATAGTATCATTACTATTACTAGTTACATCACTATCATTTATTAGGGATAAAAATGTCCCGACTTAAATAATGTGGAGCTAAGCTCTAGTGATGGTTAGTTCGGCCAACTTTTTTATTGAATGTTTAATTGTTGGTGGGCCCGATTAGCCCACTCTCGATCAGCTTTGATTAAGCGATCCGAGCATCTCCAGAGGGCACTGCCCCGATAACGTGTTTTAATTTGGGGGTTACGCATTAGTCCGCACAGCACCAAGTGCCTGAGCGACGATCGTTCCCTAGTACCATCTGCGCCACTAGGCGAAATGACTGTGCCAAACGCGGCATGTGGGGCCCGAGGGCACCAGAGCCCTCAACCTCGTTTTTTTGAGGGCAGTGCGACCAACTTGGGTCTGAGTTTTCAAACTCACAGACCAGTGGTTATTTCTATGAGACGTTCGGCAGGCTGCTAAAAGGACCCGCCGCGAGCTGCTACGTCCAACAACCCCACACGATGAGCCGGGCCGAGGGTCACGATAACCCTTAGGCCGGTAATCGTGGATGTTGAAAAAAAAAAGGAAGCCACGCAGATGGCTATATGTGTATATATATATTGTTAGGCCGAGCGGCCCGTTACCATGTTAGTTATGCAGTTAAGGTCGCTTGACGCACTCGAGCAAAAGATTAAATGACGCTCGGCACGAATTCTAAAGGATGTTCCAAACCGGCTAAAGAAAAAAGGCCGCGAGACGTTCATACTTCCCCAAGAGGCCGAGGGCCAGGAGTAGACCATCGCGGGCGATAACCGTAAGACTGAACACCTCCACCCAGAGGCCGAGGGCCGAAAGGAAACCATCATGGTGAGAGCCGTGATACGAGCATCTCCACCCCAGGAGCCGGTGGCCTTGAGGAGACCACTACGGCCGAGGGTCGTGAGACCATCCTTACATCACGACCAACCTCACAGTACGGCGTGTTTACATCCTGAAGACCGGTATCATCCCCGCGCTGCGCAGATGAGAGCCGTTGCACGGATACACTTGATCGGCTTCTCATTGCCGACATCATTATATCACGACCGGCCTCTCGGCATGGCGTGTTTATCTTTTGAAGACCGGCCTCGTCCCCGCGCTGCGCGGATGAGGACCGTTGCTTGATTTTAGGTCGGCCTCTCATTGCCGACATCATTATATCACAACCGGCCTCTCGGCACGACGTATTTATCTTTTGAAGACCGACCTCGTCCCCGCGCTGCGCGGATGAGGACCGTTGCTTGACTTTCAGATCGGCCATCATTGCCGACATTATCATACCATGTCTGGCCTCTCGGCACGTCATGTTTATCTTTTGAAGACCAGCCCCATCCCTGCTCCTCACGGATGAGGACCGTTACTTGATTCTCTTTATCGGCCCCTCATTGTCGACACCACTATGTCACGACCGGCCTCTCGGCACGGTGTGCCTTCCATGTTTGAAGACCGGCCTCGTCCCCGCCCCTCGCGGATGAGGACCGTTGTTTGGCTCTTTCTGATCGGCCCCCAGGCCGATACTTTTACATGACTACCGACCCCCTGGTACGGTGCCATTATCATATTTGAAGACCGGCCTCGTCCCCGCCCCTCGCGGATGAGGACCGTTGCTTGGCTCTTTCTGATCGGCCCCCAGGCCGATACTTTTACATGCTTACCGACCCCCTGGTACGGTGCCATTATCATATTTGAAGACCGGCCTCGTCCCCGCCCCTCGAGGATGAGGACCGTTGCTTGGCTCTTTCTGATCGGCCCCCAGGCCGATACTTTTACATGGCTACCGACCCCCTGGTACGGTGCCATTATCATACTTGAAGACCGGCCTCGTCCCCGCTCCTCGCGAATGAGAGCTGTTGCTTGATTTTCAGGTCGGCCCCTCATTGCCGACAGCATTACATCATGATCGGCCTCTCGGCACGGCGTGTTTATCTTTTGAAGACCAACCTCGTCCTCACGCTGCGCGGATGAGGACCATTTCTTGATTCTTTCAGGTCGGCCTCTCATTGCCGACATCATTACATCATGACCGGCCTCTCGGCACAGCGTGTTTATCTTTTGAAGACCGGCCTCGTCCCCGCCCTTCGTGGATGAGGGCCGTTGCTTGATTCTGTCAGGTCGGCCTCTCATTGCCGACATCATTATATATCACGACCAACCTCCCGGCTCGGCGTGCTTTTCATTTTTGAAGACCAGCCTCATCCCCGCTCCTCGCGGATGAGGGCCGTTGTTTGATCCTCTCTGATCGGCCCCTAGTGTCGACATTTTTACATGACCACCGACCCCCTGGTACGGTGCCACCATCATATTTGAAGACCGGTTTCATCCCCGCGCTGCGCGGATGAGAGCCGTTGCTCGGATGTTTCGGTCTGACTCGACACTATTGTCATCTTCTTATCAGGACCGACTACTCAGTGACATTATGATTACCTGTATATCGGCTCCCAATGCCGACCTTCTTTGGTTGGCGATCGGGCTCACCACTCCCCTCCCGGATGGTGACCATCGCCTTCGCATGATGACCAACAATTACATCGCCTCGTCATTATATTCGTTTCGGTAACCCACCACCATTAGATTTGACATCACTTGTATTCATTCTTGGAACCGACGAACGTATTTCCCCCCCTAAAAAAACGATAGAGGGGGACGGGCTTAGAACCCGAGACTTGGGAATCCTAGCAGGATAAACCAGTTCTTTACACGAGCCTGTCGCGTGCCGAGCGTACTCCGCTTAGCGGGAAGTACGTAGGACCACAGATAGGTAGTGAACGAAAAACTGGAACCCTGGCAGGGTAAACCAGTTCTTTATCGGAGTCTGTTGTGTGCCGAGTGTACACCGCTTAGCGGTCCGTACATAGGACCACGGATACGGTAGACGAACGAAGACCAGCTCCCCAGATCAGACAGGGGGGACCAGTTCTTTATCGGAGTCTGTTGTGTGCCGAGTGTACACCGCTTAGCGGTCCGTACATAGGACCATGGATACGGTAGACGAACGAAGACCAGCTCCCCAGATCAGACAGGAGGAACCAGTTCTTTATCGGAGTCTCTTGTGTGCCGAGTGTACACCGCTTAGCAGTCCGTACATAGGACCACAGATACGGTAGACGAACGAAGACTAGCTCCCCAGATCAGACAGGAGGGACCAGTTCTTTATCGGAGTCTGTTGTGTGCCGAGTGTACACCGCTTAGCGGTCCGTACATAGGACCACAGATACGGTTGACGAACGAAGACCAGCTCCCCAGATCAGACAGGAGGGACCAGTTCTTTATCGGAGTCTGTTGTGTGCCGAGTGTACACCGCTTAGCGGTCTGTACATAGGACCACAGATACAGTAGACGAACGAAGACCAGCTCCCCAGATCAGACAGGAGGGACCAGTTCTTTATCGGAGTCTGTTGTGTGCTGAGTGTACACCGCTTAGCGGTCCGTACATAGGACCACGGATACGGTAGACGAACAAAGACTAGCTCTTCAGATCAGACAGGAGGGACCAATTCTTTACCGGAGTCTGTTGCGTGCCGAGTGTACACCGCTTAGCGGTCCGTACATAGGACCACTGATACGGTAGACGAACGAAGACCAGCTCCCCAGATCAGACTGGAGGGACCAGTTCTTTACCGGAGTCTGTTGCGTGCCGAGTGTACACCGCTTAGCGGTCCGTACATAGGACCACGGATACGGTAGATGAACGAAGATCAGCTGCCCATATGAGACAGGAAGGACAACACCGGGATTTACGGTTCAGCTCGCTCATACCTTCCAGGGTGGCGACGAATGTCTTATGCAGCACGATCGGCCCCTCAGTGCCATCGTGTCTAGTCCTTGTTCAGCTCGCTCATACCTTCCAGGGTGGCAACAAACATCTTATGCAGTACGATCGGCCCCTCAGCGCCATCGTGTCTAGTCCTTGTTCAGCTCGCTCATACCCTCCAGGGTGGCGACGAACGTCTTATGCAGCACGATCGGCCCCTCAGTGCCATCGTGTCTAGTTCTTGTTCAGCTCGCTCATACCTTCTAGTGGCGACGGACGTCTTTTGCAGCACGATCGGCCCCTCAGCGCCATCGTGCCTGGCTCGTGTTCGACTCGCCCATCCCTTCTAGGATGGCGACGAACGTCTTTATGCAGCACGATCAGCCTCTCAGCGCCATCGTGTCTGGCTCATGTTTGGCTCACCCATCCCTCAAGAATGGCGACGACCGTCTTATGCAGCACGATTGGCCCCTCGGCGGCATCGTGTCTAGTTCATCTTCGGCACCGCCCATACCTTCTAGGATGGGGGCCCCGTCTTATGCAACACGATCGGCCCCTCAGCGCCGTCGTGTCGTTTCCACGTTCAAATCGCGCATCTCTTCCAGGATGGCGATGAACGTCTCTTATGCAGCATGATTGGCCCCCCGGTGGCATCATGTCTAATCCATCCTCGGCTCGCCCATTCCCTCCAGAATGGCGACGACCGTCTTATGCAGCACGATTCGCCCCTCAGCGGCATCGTGTCTAGTTCATCTTCGGCACCGCCCATGCCGTACTGGATGGGGGATCCGTCTTATGTAGCACGATTGGCCCCTCGGCGGCATCGTGTCTAGTTCATCTTCAGCTCTGCCCATGCCGTACCGGATGGGGGACCCTTCTTATGTAGCACGATCGGCCCCTCGGTGGCGTCGTGTACAGTTTATCGATGAGATCTACCACTTTATGCCACATCTTACATTGCACTCATACATTACATGCATACATACATTCATGCATCATACCTCATACATTCATACATACACACATACATCAGGTATTGTCAGTTCCGCGTCGTCAGCTTATATTGTGCAGGGACCTATAAGCTTCTCCATTGGAAAGCTCGAGTAAGAGTCCTCTACTCCCACCTGATACATTTAGGGGGAGAGTGTCCGGGGAAGAGCAACCATTGCCCGACCCCATCGGGAGGGGAGCGCCTTACCGGCAGGTTATATTCAGAGGGGCAGACACCCACTCATATATTATGATTATTCGAAGACACAGTTTCCAGGAAGACAGAGGAAGAGCGCAGACAAGAGTATAATTTCTCGAGCAGATTCGCACGCTCACTACTCAAGAAACTGGGGGACTTGTGTTGGGATATATTATCCCGGCCTATTACTGTTCAGGAGCCCAAGACATTACTCAGTACGGAGCCCGAGCAGCTAGGTCCATTTCGGCCCATTCTGGCCCACTTTAGCCATTTGGGCCCATTCCGGCCCATGCGGCCCATTAGGGTGGATTATTTCCCCATCCCCTTTCTCTATAAATATGGGAGTTTCCCTCCATATTAGGATCCTTTTTTCCTTCTTCCCCATGCTTCTTCTTCTCCCTAGAATAGCTTACAAGACTCCATTAATGGGAGCTCAAAATGTACTATGTAATGGTGAGGAGAGTTTAATGAGAAAAAGAGGGCTTGAACATTAGCCTAAAAAGTCCCGTGGTTTTCTCCCTTTCGGGTTTCCACGTAAAAACTGAGCTTAATCATACACATTTATATATATATTTACTATATCGTGTTGGATTAACCTCAACATTTACCCTCTTAACATAACGAGCAATTTTAGCCGATTCAGTCAGAAATGCAATATCGATCTTACTTGATGATAAAACATATGTCATTATTAAACAATTTAACGTGCAACAATGAGTATTTCTTGTTCGATAAAACATTAATGATAAGGAAGATAAACCAAATATAGGGTTTACCAAATAAACACTGTTTATTTGCTGGCAGATAAACACTGTTTACCAGGTATAATTTGCTGGGAGATCTGGAAATCCTATACTGGTTTGGTATGAGGCTCGGATGGCATATCTCCTAAAGTTGACTCTCTTATTTCTCAAATTAAGATTTTTTCTCAGAATTGGGTATTTAGTTTCTCAACTAGCAAGATTACCCAAGTTGGGGCGATTCTGTATGAAGAGCATCTGGTCCCTAGGAATTTTCGTCTACCCCGACCTACGTTTAAAGCTATTTTATGGAGGAAACCTAAAAGATCTTATAAGCTCAATGTTGATGCGAGTTTCTCACCTCAGAAAGTTGCCGGAGGTGCTATCTTGAGGATCAGTGAAGGCAGGTTGGTCATGGCAATTTCATTCCCGATTTCAGCGTCTTCCGCTTTTGAAGCTGAGTTGCTTGCTGTCATACATGCGACTTCTTGGGCGATTGATGCTGGTTTTACGGATTTCCAGGTTGAAATGGATTCTAGGGAAGCTCTGGAGCATCTGCATCGTAGGGGAAGAGGACGATGGAGCGGTGAGGTCAACGATTTGTTGGATCTGTTTGAGAGCAGAACGTTTTCCTATTTTGCTATCTTGAGGGAAGCAAATTGGGCTGCCCACTTTTTAGCAACCTCTTTTATGGATCGGCCCAAAAACTACTTTCAAATGGCTGATTTACCACCTTCATGGCATATTTGCCCAGCATCCTCATAATACTTTCCTCCTCAATAACACACGATTGGGAAGTTGGAGAAATCCATATTCTAATAACAATACATGTTAAACTTTCATGATTACACATCAATATACCCAGTTTATACACATTAAGTTTTTCAATTAAAAAAAAAACTAGCTACATTCTAATATACCCAAATGTCAAAATGCACAATCAATTCACATTTCAATATCAAAATACCCAAATTTTGATATCTACATTCTAGTCTGTATTTCAATACCCAAATTTAGCTACATTCAAATCCACCCAAATGTCAAAATATACATTAAAATTTACAATCAATTTAATATCAAATTTCAACTTTTCATACATATCCACATTTCACAACACATTAATTCACAAATCAATTCATAATCTAAAAATTCGAAAATTTTAACTTTCAAAACCCTAACTTCAAAATGAGATAAAATGGAGTTTGATTTCGCTAGAAGAAAGAGTGTTGAAGAAGATGGAGGTGGAGAGACCTTGGGTAGATGACTTCGCCAGAGATGGAGCTGTTGGGTGTGTTTCGGAAAATAAAGAAAATTAATTAAAAGAAATTAATTAAATAAAATGACAAAAGAAAACAGAAATGAGATGGAGCAGAAATTTGTCAAAGCTCGTGCTACGCACGATGTCCTTAAAACGTATTTGTTGCCTCCCACGGTGCTAGGAGCGTTGCAACAATAGTTTCCCAGGATACGATGACAACGAACTAATGTTTGAGCACACAAACAAGAGTTCCAACGAACGAGAACAAGTCTGAACACTCAGGAATTTTTCAGAATGCTAGCAGTGTGTTTTTAGAGCTAAAACGTGTATGGATTCGTGTAAAATCGTGTAAGAACGTGTGTTGTTGCAAACCACCTGCCAGCCATTATATAGGAGGATTTGTTGTATGAAAATAGTGAATTAATGGACCTGAACGTTGGACATCAATGACCAGTCCGTTGGGCATTGAATCGTCCATGAACTGTCCATTTAACGCTGCATTAAAAGATAAGAACGTTGGGCATTAATTGTTGTAACGTTTCAGAAGTGCGAGAGAAGACCTCCATCAGAACTCCCCGGGAGGCCAACTCTGATCCGAGGCCAACTCTGATCCGCGGCCATCAGAGTACCCCCAACTCTGATGGGCGGCCATCAGAGTACCCCCAACTCTGATGGCCATCAGAATACCAACGAGAGTGGTTCTGCCATCAGAAGACCATCGAGGTGTTCTGATCCGAGCACTTCTGCCGCTGGGAAAAAATTAAACGTTTCGGGAAGAAAACAAAAATTAATCGTATCTCATGAGAGATAGATTTTTGGACGACATTCGTGTCCGCAGGTCGCCCGCGCACGCAAGTCGCGGTTTTTCTTCTCCGATTTCGGGATTTGATTTGCACCCCCCCCCTGCGCGCGTGGAGAGAGCCTCTACCCTAAGGAATCTTAACTCCTTAAGGGGGGAATCCCTTTATAAAGGGTTGCAAATCCCTTGGGTTTTCCGGTGTGGGAAATTAACACTAGAAACCCATCCTTTTTCCCTTCTTAGGTGTTGGTACAAGCACCTTAGCAAGACACCCCCACACTTTTAAATATTGATAGGAAGGCCGTTTGCCTTTCCACAACTCGTATGGAGTTTTATCATATTTTTTCCGGGGAACCTTATTTAAAAGGTAATTGCTTGTCAAGATTGCTTCGCCCCACATATTTTGTGACAGGCCCGAACTTACTAGCATCGCATTCATCATATCTTTCAATGTGCGATTCTTTCGTTCGGCAACACCGTTTGATTGAGGTGAATAGGGTGCGGTACGTTCATGTACTATACCCACACTAGCGCAAAAGTCACCAATTGGTGCTTCATACTCACCACCTCGATCACTCCTAACCGTTTTAATCCGTCGATTAAGTTGGTTTTCCACTTCATTCTTATAAAGAATGAATTTATCGATTGCTTCGTGTTTATTTTTCAACAAATAAACATAGCTATAGCGAGTGCTATCATCGATAAAAGTAATAAAATATTTATTACCGCCATGTGTTTGTATTGATTTAAAATCACAAACGTCACTATGAATTAATTCTAGTGGTTCCGTTTTTCTTTCAACCGATTTGAAAGACGTTTTCGTTAGTTTTGCCTCAACACAAACATCACATTTGTGCTTCACATCAATTGTGAATTTAGGAATGTGCTCCATGTTAATTAATCTACGTATAGAATTAAAATTAACATGTCCTAGTCTACCATGCCACACATTGGAAGACTCAAGCAAGTAAGCAGAAGGGATTTTATTATTATTATTAATAATAGTCATTACATTGAGCTTAAACAGCCCATCACATGCATACCCTTTGCCCACATACATTCCCGACTTGGACAAAACTAATTTGTCCGACTCAAAAACCATGCGGAATCCATGCTTGTTCAACAACGAACCGGAAATCAGGTTTTTGCGTATCTCCGGAACGAACAGCACTTGGTTTAGAGTCAGCTCCTTGCCCGAAGTCATCTTCAGGACCACCTTGCCCACGCCTTCCACCGCGGAATGGGCTGAGTTTCCCATCCACACCTTCTCACCATTTGATGGTTCAAAGGTCGTGAATAGCTCCCGGTTTGAGCAAATATGCCGGGTAGCACCGGTGTCCACGAACCATTCATTGGAATTGGATCCAACGAGGTTGACCTCGGTCACCACGGCCGAGAGGATCATTTCCTCCTCCTTTTGAATCTCGTGGAAGATCATTTTAATCTTCTCAACTTGATTCACAACCGTCTTCGGATCCACCATTTTAAAATCAAGGAATCGACCAACAACAAATTTCTTTGCGCCGGCATCCTCGCTTTTATACTTGTGGTCCAAAGCATTCCATAGCTCCTTAGCCGTAGCTAATTTGCTATAAACGTCGTACAAAGCATCGTGCAGCCCGTTCAACACATAGTTTCGGCAAAGGAAGTCAGAATGCTTCCAAGCCTCAACCGCGTTGAGAGATTGCACATCTACCTCACTCCCGGTTACAACCGGCGCGTCCTCGGTCAAGAAACGTGCAAGACCGAGAGTAGTGAGATAAAATAGCATCTTTTGCTGCCACCTCTTGAAGTTTAACCCATTGAATTTCTCGGGTTTCTCCACAGAGTTGCTTGGCACGGTAACCATAGGGATTGCCCCTTGGTTGCCCAAAGCAGATGCACCGCGTTGTAAACTATTGTTCACCGGAGCTCCGCTTTCAGAATGATTATCGTTCGGCACGTTCTGCCCACCAACATTCTGGTTTTCTTGAGAAGCCATTTTTATTTTCTTAACGTTTTTTCCGAAAACACAAAAAAAACAAGTTCGTTCACCAAAGTGACAAACTACAGTTTAAGATTGTATACCGCAGTATAACAATCCGCAAATACGTTTTAAGATTGTATACCTCGGTATAACAATCTCCAAATAGCAACAGATACGTTTTAAGATTGTTGGGTGTGTTTCGGAAAATAAAGAAAATTAATTAAAAGAAATTAATTAAATAAAATGACAAAAGAAAACAGAAATGAGATGGAGCAGAAATTTGTCAAAGCTCGTGCTACGCACGATGTCCTTAAAACGTATTTGTTGCCTCCCACGGTGCTAGGAGCGTTGCAACAATAGTTTCCCAGGATACGATGACAACGAACTAATGTTTGAGCACACAAACAAGAGTTCCAACGAACGAGAACAAGTCTGAACACTCAGGAATTTTTCAGAATGCTAGCAGTGTGTTTTTAGAGCTAAAACGTGTATGGATTCGTGTAAAATCGTGTAAGAACGTGTGTTGTTGCAAACCACCTGCCAGCCATTATATAGGAGGATTTGTTGTATGAAAATAGTGAATTAATGGACCTGAACGTTGGACATCAATGACCAGTCCGTTGGGCATTGAATCGTCCATGAACTGTCCATTTAACGCTGCATTAAAAGATAAGAACGTTGGGCATTAATTGTTGTAACGTTTCAGAAGTGCGAGAGAAGACCTCCATCAGAACTCCCCGGGAGGCCAACTCTGATCCGAGGCCATCAGAGTACCCCCAACTCTGATGGCCATCAGAATACCAACGAGAGTGGTTCTGCCATCAGAAGACCATCGAGGTGTTCTGATCCGAGCACTTCTGCCGCTGGGAAAAAATTAAACGTTTCGGGAAGAAAACAAAAATTAATCGTATCTCATGAGAGATAGATTTTTGGACGACATTCGTGTCCGCAGGTCGCCCGCGCACGCAAGTCGCGGTTTTTCTTCTCCGATTTCGGGATTTGATTTGCACCCCCCCCCCCTGCGCGCGTGGAGAGAGCCTCTACCCTAAGGAATCTTAACTCCTTAAGGGGGGAATCCCTTTATAAAGGGTTGCAAATCCCTTGGGTTTTCCGGTGTGGGAAATTAACACTAGAAACCCATCCTTTTTCCCAGTTTTTCCCTTCTAACGGGTAAACTTCGAAAAGCGATTTCTCATTCACCCGTTATCCGTTTTGAGTGTACCATATATCGAATTGTAGCCCTTAACAAGGACAATCCGAAACCACTTTGACCCGACCCAAGTCGGAAGTGTACCCCACTCAAAAAATTGCCCCAAAATAGCCATTTAATGCAATTTTTCACACATTTTTCCAACAGGAGCTTCGCCGGAGTTGGAGATGGAGCTTCGCCGGAGATGGGTTCGATCGTCCGCCTTTCGTTCGTCACTGCGGTGGGTTTGGGGGTTTGGGGGTTTGGGGGAATAAAACACGTTCCATCTCGCAGACCCAGCCCGACTGCCTATTCAATAGGTAAGTCGTCCAACGGTTGGACGACTTATAAGTCGCCAAACCGGATGGCGACTTATAAGTCGCCCAACAGTTGGGCGACTTACCCCGACCATGGTTAACCCAACAGTATATTGATAAATACTTTTAACTCAGCCCTATTTTTGTAATTATTTAATTAATTAACATTAATACGGGAAAAAACTCAATTTAATTGATTAACATTAAATTTAATTCTAGTCCCTAGACCATCCTAATTTAAAAAAATTATATACTTTTATTGTAAAATATAATATACTCCCTCTCTCATGACATTTTGTTATTATAAAGTTTAATTAGGTCTTTATTTTTTAATTATCTCAATTTTATTATTTTAATTAATTTTTAAAATTTACTCCTCCGTAGAAAGGATTTTATTTAGAAAAAAATTATTACCACCAAAGTATATGATAGTTTACATTAAAAATATATAAAAAATTTATATTAGTGTTAATTCCGTTTAAATTTACTAGAATTAAATTTACTAGGCACTAGAATTAAATTTACTTATTTAATTTAGTATTTTCGTGTTAATTCAATTTTTTTAATTACATATTTCAAATTATGTTTTTACATAAGTTCAATTACGTTTAAATTTTTTAATTAAATATCACAAATTAAGTTTTATATTTGAATTTTTATTTAATTTTTAATTTAATTTCTCTAATAAAGTTTTTAATTAGAATTTATCTAATTCTAGTGCAAATTAAGTTTTTAATTATGCTTGTTATTAGCGTTAAAAAAATTATGTTTTTTATTATACAAACATTGTATTTAAATATTAGAAAAAGTGATTTTAGGGAAGTGAAAGGTGTAGCCTTGTGGTTGAACCCCTATGTGAAGCACGTCCATCCTTCTTCAGCCCAGGTTCGAATCCTGGGTGTACATAACTTTTTGTTTTTGTATGGATGACACGGAAATGGCTGAATAGCAACCGCAGTGATAATCGGAAGGTAGATTCTATGGTACCAATTCGTATATCGTGGTACCTGCGCACAATGAGCATCATGCTCCCAGGGGTAAAACACGGATGAACAGTAACTTTTTTTTTGTGTTTTAGTAGCAGGACGATGTAACTCCCGTTCACAAAAATGTAACTCACGTTGATAGGAAATGTAACTTAAGTCAAGTTGATATGTAAGTTGTTAAAAACGGAATGTAAGTGGAGAAAACATTGATTTCAATGTAAACAATGAAAAATTGATCCTAATTTCCCAATTACTTTTTATAAATAGTGAATATGTTTTGAATTTTTAACATTAAGGCTATAAAAATTGATTTAGTTAAAAATATTTTTTTATCATTAGCATGGTTTATTTAGTGGTGTAACTCGCGTACATTAAGATGCAACTTGTGTACATTAGAATGTAATTCTAGAAAAGTTGAAATGTAAACATCTTATATATACATAAATACATATAAGAAAAGAAAAGAAAACTTATGTATATTATCAACATTGATTTCAATGTAAACAATTACAAATTGATCCTATTTAATTTGCCCAATTACTTTTTGTAAATAGTGAATATGTTTTTTAATATTAGGGTTACAAAAATGATATTGTTTTTTTATCATAAAAATGATATAGTTAAAAAATCATTTTTTGATCATTAGCAAGGTTTATTTCATGATGTAATTCGAGTACATTAAAATGTAACTCACGTATAAACAGATGTAACTCGCGCATAAGAAGATGTACCTTTATATATTATCAAATGTAATTCCAGAAATTGTCTATAAACACAAGTCACACATGTTGAAATATAAATCACACAAATGTATAAAATATAAAACTATTTATTTTGAAGAAAAAAATTAATTTTTTATTGTAAGTTAAGTTGAAGCAAATAAGAAAAGAAAAAAGTGTATATATAAGGACTAAGACAGAAAAAAAACATAATTAATTTCTTTTGAAAGGATGAAAATTTAATCTCAAAATTGTAATACATACATCATTGTTCCTAAATTAAAAAAAAAAATTATTAACATGATTGCTTTTGATAATAAAAAAATTAAAATAAACATAGAATGAAAAAAATGATGGTGGAACGATGATTGGAGTGTGTGAGTGTAGATGAGAAAATAGAGAGCATGAAGGCTTTTGATAAAGAAAATTAAAAGTAATCAATGAGAAAGAAGAAAAAAACGAGGCAGGGGAAGTATAAAAAATGGCACTGTATTAATACCGGCATACCATGCGCAAGATATGCCGGTTGCACGGTAGAATTTGCCCTATGGTACCCTTAAGGTACCATATATTTGTCCACATGGACCAATAAGAGTGTTGCAGTTGAATTATTTAAATCTAAATAAAAAAGGACATCATGACTTGGACCAATCAAATGCATGGTAGGTACGGTTAGGGGTGGACTCGGGCCGGTTCGGGCCCGGGCCGGCAGTTCAAGAATGGGAGCCCCGGAACCGGCCCGGGTACTCCCTGAGTCCGGCCCGGGCTAGGCCTTAGTTATTTTTTTCCCCCTTTTCATAGTTAACCCCCAACCCCCTCACCCCCAAACCACCCCAAATGACCCAAAATACCCAGCCCAACCCGAAAACAAAAAAAAATGAAAAAAAATTAAAATTAAAACGAATCGGAACCGGGCCCGAACCAGCCAAGCCGGTTCGTGATTTAGGGAGCCCGAGCCCGGACCGGAACCCCAGCGGGTCAAGCCTACCCGGACCGATCACTGACCGGGCCACCGGGCAGGGCCGGGCCGGAACAATGCCGGTTCGGGCCGGTTCTGGGTTGGGCCACCCGCCCCGTGACCACCCCTAGGTACGGTACCCCCATTTTATAAATGGGTACCAGAGTTGTCACCTAATCGGAAATGGTTGAATGAAGTGGACAGGCTGACATGGCAACCGTAATCATAATTAAATGACATGACAAAAATTGCCCTGATTTGGGAAATAAGTTTGAAACTACCCTAGTTTGGGAAATAAGTTCCAAAACTACACCTTCTTATAAAAAAACTCCAATTTTTTTTATGACACTTATTTTGGGACAACTCAAAAAAGAAAGTAAGACAGGTAAAATGAGACGGAAGGAGTAGCATATATATTATGCTAAAATATGAGTTCTATCTTGGTTAGAAGAGAACACGTGATATTTTGATACAATTTGCCTTTTCAAAATATGATGTTTTTTCTAGGGGTGGGAAAACCCGAACCGAAACCCGGAAACCGACCCTAGACCGACCCGAATTATGACCCCGGTCCGGGTTTTTTCTTTTTAACCGGACCGAATTAAAAATACCCGGACCGAACCCGAAATTTCGGGCTCATTAACGGGCCTTAAAATCTATAACCCGGCCCAGACCGGAAAAACCCGAAACAATTAGCTTTAATATAAAATTAATATAATATATGAGTATAAATTTATAAATATTTCCTAATATATGATTATAATCACGGTGGATAAAAAAAATCATTTAGTAACTTTACTGACTACAAATAAGTTCAATTTGTTTAGCATAATGACCATGAAAAATAGATTTATAGGAACTCTATTCACATTTTTATCTATAAATTTTATTTCAAAATATTGTTAAGAAACCTATATTATTTATTTATATGCATCTTAAATAAAATATTAAGATAATTATCTTTGGATTTGAATGTTGGTGATTTTGAAGATTAATATTTGTGTTACTATTTGTGGTTTGTATTTTTCATTAATTTTATTTGAAAATATGTGTTAAGATATAAAAGAACAATGAGATAGTTCACGTTCGGGCTTTAACCGGCCCAATCCAAACCCGGACCGAACCCGGGCTACCAAAAACCCGACTCGGACCGAATATGACGGACTTTGTTCCGGTCCCTAATTTTCATAACCCGAGACCTTCCAGGTAATTTCCGGGTTTAGCAAAAACCCGACCCACACCGGACAGATCTCACCCCTAGTTTTTTCTAAGGTCTATCGTACTCGTAGCTTTTTTTATAATAAAAGATCTATTGTGCTAACATGGGCGAGATAACAAAATGACAGTTTTAATTAGACTATTTACTACTCCTATTTAGTATAGATGATGATAAACAAATCAAATAATGGAGTTGAAGATACTTGAGAGTAATACATCAAATATAAGGAGTATTTGTAACCTTGGTTTATTGGTAAGGCTCTGTGATCAGTAATGATGAATTATAAGTCATTTTATCATTTCAAGGTCAGCAATGCGGAATAACAGTCAGCAAAATCATGATTGCTTAAGAAAATAACAAAATAAATTTAAGAGGATCAGTTTGTAAATACTCAAAAAAAAAAAATGATCGGTTTGTATAGAGGACAATTTGTACATAATCAAAACCCATCACGTGCGGAGCTATTTTTATGAAAAAATAAAGGGCAATTTTACACAAACGTGGGTAGGTTATGCAAGTTTGTGGGGTAATGTTGTAAAAGGAAAGTTTGTAAGCTGATTTGACTAAAGACCCCCAACGGCATAAACTTTACAAGCACTAAATTTACAAAACTTCACAAGTGTTACCAAAAAAATACCATGTAAAAATTACCATGTACAAATTTACAACACTTTTTCCACAAGTGTTACCATATACGTAGTACTTGTAATATTTATTCCTATATATAATTAAGTGGTAGTTGAAAATTTATGTTAAGTTATACACTTGTACAACATAATTACACTTAAATAAGACTTACCCAGAACTTTCACTAAGAAAAAGAGTGACGATGCTCGTTAGTCCGGAGTGGTATGTTTGATTGTTGTCATAGAGCAGATGTCCAAGGTCTTGAAAATCTTTCTCTATTCCGGTGAGTTTTATATGTCTTCCCCATACAACAATACTGTTTGGATCACTTAGATTCCCCATGACCACCATTAACACGTTTATGTAAACGATTTAAGGCTTCTAGTAATTCCCTGAAAAAAGGTATTCAAATTTTGTAAAATTGTAAATTTTACAAATCATAAAATTAAAATATGACTTAATTACCTTATTTGATTTTTTATAACATTATTAACATTCATAAAAGTCGTAGAATATGGATTATAGAAAAAGTAAGAGTAGGATGGGGATACAAAGAAAAGCAAGGGTCTCAAGATAAATGAAAGATTAGATAATGTTTGAGCGAAGTCAAACAATTGTTTCATAACAACTAACTTCGAAGCCTCCACTTTTATCAGCACCGTCTTTCTGAAAGCTTCTGTTAGACAATAGTGCTTCTCATATAGCTAGATTTCTTGATCCTTATTTATTTATTTATTTATTTATTTATTTATTTATTTATTTATTTATTTATTTATTTATTTATTTATTTATTTATTTATTTATTTATTTATTTATTTATTTATTTATTTATTTATTTATTTATTTATTTATTTATTTATTTATTTATTTATTTATTTATTTATTTATTTATTTATTTATTTATTTATTTATTTATTTATTTATCCATCCATCCATCCATTCATCCGTTTTTATTTTTTTAATGGGCCTGGGATTAGGGTCCATTCAAATGCCAACAAAGTAAAGGAAGGTTGAAGAATTAGCAAATTTTCTTTGTTGATCTTGATACATAGAGAGTCCTTATTGTTTTTATGCTCCTCTCTTTATGATAGTATTTTTTCAATGTTCCTTTGAACTTTGAAGCTGCTGAAAACCACTAGAGATACCATTTTAGTGCTTGTACCGTAAGCCCTTCACCACCACATCTGTGGTGATTTTAGCTGGCAATAATTCAAGCAAGATAGTCAGTGTATGAACTAGTCCTCCATTACTCCTCCTTAAAGCTCTGATACTTTGTATTGTAACCTTTTAGGGCAGTTGTGTACTACAAATGGTTTGATAAGATTCTCAGCGCACTAACCATGAGAAGAAATGTAGGTTCTGAATTTAACGGAGATTGAACTCAATCGGGTGGACTTGCGCGTTGGTCTCTCAGGTGGATTGTATTTCATGGATGGATCTCCTCGAGCAGTGCGGCAGCTGCGTGACCTTAATTCTCAGGTCTGATCTTGATTTTATAGTCCTTCCCTGCATGTGTTACTTTCATGCAGTTCCCTGGTAATTATTTGGTGCTTCATGATCAGGAAACATCCTTATATCTGAAGCAGAAAAAGGCTGTTTGTCTTGTTATCGAAATCAAACCAATCTTCCTATATGTTTTTTTGTTTAGCATTAATCCTATGTCTTAGATAGTTAGAAACTGCCAAGGCTGTGTAGCAAACACTCTGCTCCCTATTTAGTACTCTCACTGTTACTTATTTTATTGGGGCGTGTGAGAGATCAGTAACACGGGTTACTGTTCAACTACTCATAAATGCTTTTATGAAGGCTCCATATTTTCTTAGGCGTGTGTGAGACGCACATCTCGTAACAAACCAGTGCTCTCTATCTTTCTTCCCACCGAAAGAAAATGTCTACTACTCTTATTTCCAGTTCTACACCGTGACCACTGCTACCAGAGGGCTTGGATAAACCGGTAGGAATCAAGAAATCTAGCTATATGGGAAGCACAAATGGAGTTCAGATGCACTATTGTCTAACAGAAGCTTTCGGAAAGACGGTGCTGATAAAAGTGGAGGCTTCGAAGTCAATTGCTATGAAACAAACGTTTGACTTCGCTCAAACATTATCTAATCATCCATTTATCTTGAGACCCTTGCTTTTCTTTGTATCCCCAGCCTACTCTTTTTCTATGATCCATATTCTATGACTTTTATGGATGTTAATGATGTTATAAAAAATCAAATAAGGTAATTAAGTCCTATTTTAATTTTATAATTTGTAAAATTTACAATTTTATAAAATTTGAATACTTCTTTACCTTTTTTCAGGGAATTACTTATTCTTGACCTTCTGAATCCATTTTATGCCACGATTTGAAATATCACCTGTCTTGCTCCCGATTGAAAAAGAGACATAGTTTTCAATCACAGGCTTCCAAGATACTAGTATTGGTCACGAAGAGGTAGAAGATGTCCCTGAAGCAGTCACATGGTTAAAGCTCATGTTAGTTAAAATATATTTAATTTAAATAATACATTAACTTGACAATAAACAAGTACTACGTAATATTCAAATCCCATTAATAAAGAAGTCATAGAGAAAACATACACAAGCTACTGGTACTTTACAAGATGCACTCACATAGTTGTTTGTACACAGACAATTTGACCGGCTACACAGACAAATTGAGTGGCGATTTATGAAGATAATCGATTTTCACACAGACAAAAGTAAAAAAATTGTTTGTATCGCAGATACTTTATAACAAAAGAGACATAGAGAAGACATACACAAGCTATTGGTACTTTACAAGATGCACTCACATAATTGTCTGTACACAGACAATTTGACCGGCTACACAGTCAAATTGAGTGGCAATTTATGAAGAAAATCAATTTCCACACAGACAAAAAAAAATTGTCTGTATCACAACCACTTTATGAAAAGAAGGGTTCACTCAACTGACCTTACACATCTGATGCTTCACTCATTGAAAGATTGATTTAAGAGAAGGGTTCAAGAAATGAGTTTAGTTATTTCTTAATTGAACTCATAGTTATTCATGCTTGATTTTCATGAGTGAGGCGACTGAGGCATCAGACCAATGGAGAATGACAAAAATTAGTGGAGGAAGTTAGGAAATTGCATGGGTGAAGGGCAGAAGGGATGAAGGGAATATGAAAACTATTTGGAATACGTGCACTTTACATATGTTTACACTAAACTTGGAAAGGACGCTTCGTATAGAATGATAAATGAACTTAAAACCTACCTAACCTTAGTAAATACTTAAAACTTAATATCAAGTTAAGACCCACCTAACTTTAGTGCCACAGAAACCGGTTCCTGAACATAGACACAAGTACCTCATCATCCAATACCACTAATGAAATAATGTGTGAGCCTTAGGTCTAGGTTCAAAAGAGCACACTCCACTTGGTCTTAAAGCAAAAGCATTGCCCTATTTTGAGGAAAATATATACCCATCGAATAGTTCCCCACACGATTTTAATTAACCAACAAACTGCCCCGATAAAAAAACAACTGCTAAAGATCATATGGGCAAACTGCTAAAACATAAACACACATATAAAGGTCTATCAAGGTTTACTCCTTTAAAGTTGGTTAGTAATTCACAATAGAATTCAAGTTTTAACATCATATAATGAAAATCATGCGAGTAAAATCTAAAATCTAGGCCTCTAATGCACAACTTGAATCAGTCTATGTATGGTGTGTAAGTGGCTCAAGTTGCAAAATTAATACATTTCAAATCAATAAATTTATGATGTGATGTATTTAAAAAAAATAGATTCTATGGTACCCATAAGATATCATAAGCATACCTTTGTCTATATAGAACAATAAGGATGTTTCAGTTGTATTATTTAAATCTAAATAAAAATGATATAATGATGTGGTCTTGTCAAGTGAATGATAGGTACGGTATCCAATTTTTTAAATGGATAACGGAGTTGTCACCTTTAAAAAATGTGATGAATGTTGTGTTTGTGATATGGCACTCCACGTCCCCTAAGTTTTAAAGTCTTACCATTCTCATTGAAATACCATTAAATACCGATTGTTTCTACTATAAATTTCTGAAAGTTAAATGTTTGAAAATCATCCTAGTTTGTGATACGTTAGTTTTTGTGTATCCTAAAAGTAGATATGAGCCCGTTTGGAGAACTCTGTTTTCGGCTTATCAGGCTTATCAGCCAACTTTTTCACCAAACACGTAACTTTTACTTTCGCGCGCTGAATTGTGTAATAAGCCGAAAAAGTAAGGTTGGAGTTACTTTTCTGGCTGTATTGGCTGAAGTTACTGTAGAGGACCATTTTAGCTATTTTTACATATAATTTTTTCTTTAATTTATTAATAAAATATATTTTTAAAATATTTTTTTCTTAAATCAGCAGAATCAGCCAAAACAGCCACTCCAGCCAGAATATCATAAATTTCAGCAGAATCAGCCAAAACAGCCGATTTTGGTGCTACCAAACGGGCTCATAAACTACTACGTACTAAGAGTAAGGTAGAATCCATGAAACTCTATTTGCATTATTTTCCGAAAAAGTTTTACACTCATGATTTGAAGGAAGTCCGAATGATATAGGTTTCATTTTTAAATTGATTAATCATGTTCTCACAAAAAATTATACAACACCCTTTTCCATCTTAGAAAGCATACTTCCATTAAGCGATCAATAGGCTCCTTCCTGAAATATCATCCCAAAATAGTTAGATGAATTGCTTGTGAAGGAATGTACCTTTTCTTAAAACAAATCGTTTTCTTTGATGGAGCAACGGAATTGATGACCTTTGATGGAGCAACTGAATTGATGACCTTTGAGAAATACGACTCAACATGAAAATGAGAGCAATTAAATTCTTTTTTCAAGTTTTGTTGATCATGTATACGGTATACTATTAGTAGTGTATATCACGGAAAAAGCTCCTGCATATTAAAATATATAATACTATCCTTCATTTTTTTATCGCAACATGTTGAATTTTACATTATTCATGTGTTCTACTTTGACTACATTGTACGATATTATTTTGCGAAATTCTTACACATTTCTCTCTCCTCTGCACAACTCTCCACCACACAATACCCACTATCTTAAACTGTGTGCCAAACCTATTTGGAAGTTTTATTAGGGACAGAGGGAGTAGTATAAAGCTCGTAATCCAAGACAAAGTACCTATAACTTCACAGTATACCTCTTCCTCTATATACAAAGCGCCGTGGAACAGCATGCCATTTTCCCGCCTAATCCATTGGGTAAACCGGGTCAAAAAACGGGCAGACAGCCAAGGTCAAGCAAAGCATTTAATATTTGTCTCAAAACTTTTCCAAGAATTAAATGCAAAGTAAAATAAGGCTGAGAAGATTTCAGAATTGATCTTGAACTCTTGAAGGTACAAATGCATTTAATGAATTGCAGATCAAGTACACTTCTGGGGTAACTTAAGTAGCTGTCCAGCTTTTCAATTCTTTTTCCAATTAATAAAGGGTAAATGAAAACTAATAATCCAACTTTTTAGCAGTCTTCTTACTATAGTCTCAACTTTTCGTTATTCATGAATAATCCAACCTTTATACCTCATCTTCATTCATTGATCCCTGACCGGTTGATGACCTGCTATTTTTATCTTTGCAAACCATAATACCATAAATCTCACCTTTCACAAGGATAATATTTTGCAAAGAAAAAAAAACTTGAAATAGCATGTCATTTACCGTTCAGGGATCAGTGAATGAAGATAAGGTGCAAAGGTTGGATTAGTCTTGAATAACGAAAAGATAGGACTATTGTAAGAAGACTGTTAAAAGTTTTCCATTTTCCCAATATTAAATGAATTATTGTCCTGTATAGAATCATTTATTTTTAATTGTTGATAAACACTATTGTCCAGTGTATAATACATATTACATCATACGAGCTGTCTCAATTAAATAAGAGCATCAGCAATGGGAGGTCAATTGGGGATCAAAAAAATGTTGATGGGAGTTGACCCCCACTATGGTAAGTCAAGAGTTGATCGGTCAAGTTGTTAGCTCATATATTGAATCTGACAATTTTTTTTTCATTTAGCCAAGTGGCGTACGAGTGGAGAGCAAAGGAAAGAGTGGAGGAATTCTTCTCCCAATTTTCTAGCCACAAATCCCACCAAATTTTTAATTTAATATTTTATTCATTAAATTAATTTATTTTATAAAAAAAACTATACCAAAAAATCAGATTTCCCCCCCTCTATAAATAGACACCAATGAAGGATATGTTTAGTCACTTCGAAATTTATCACTTTTTTACCTCTTGCATCTGATTTTATCTGTTTTAGCAAACTTTTCTTCCTGAAAATGGATCTAAACTGTTCTCCCCCTACATACTACACCAACAGCCCCCCATTCCAAAGAATTCCTCATTCTGGTCTTCAATGATCTGATTTGGTCTGGTCTGGGACTGAAAAACAGTCCAAAAGAAAATATCCTAAATAAATTAATAAAGGTGGAATATATAAAAAATAAGCAATGAGAGTGTAAAAATTAAAATGTGACCTAGGTCACCATAGTGGGAAGAAATTGTGATAAGTTAAAGGGGATTAAGTTTTTGGAGGAAAATGATGTAGAGGAGAGAGGTGAGTTTAACAAGGCAAATCTACTTTATACAGATTTTCAAGTACAAATTTATTGGGTATTGTGTTTTGTCTATTCAAATTAAAAGGCACTGCATGCTATTGACCAAACAGGGAAAGTTGGGTATTTTTAAAGGAAAAATTTATCAAAAAGGGAAAGTATAGCAAATTTTTAAATACATCCCAAAAAGGAAAGCGTAGCAAACTTTAGAATACAGAGGGAGTATACAATTTTGATATGTTTTTTTATGTCTATGTCTAGACGGCTTCTTTGACATTGTAAAGAAAAATTTATCAAAATTGTTTATCATTTAAATAAAGAGAAAGATGATTTATTTAATAATATTTATATGACTATCTTACATGCCACATATAACGTGCACATTGTAGCGTTGGAGGTGCTCTAATTAGCTAAAAAGAAAATTTGAACATTAATTACTAGCAGGACATTTATGTGGCAGTAGACAACACAACACTTGTACGCATGTTTACATAGCTGGAGCCTGGAAGTTTGTTAAAATTAGGAAAATTATTTTAATTTTCACGAGACATCCTCCTATCTTTTTTCCTAAATTACATACGGAGTATGTGTTGAGTTTGCCCAAAAAAATTACGTATTGCCTTTTAAGTTGGTTGCTAAATCACACAAAAATTACATACGTATTAATGTATTATACGTAGTACGTCAATATTAAAATATAGTTTAAATTTAAATTTTTACAGAGTATAAACTTACGATGGTGAAGGTGTCCGTAGTAGTGACACGAGACGCACGATCCCCGGATGGCAGACACATCGGGTATTCGGGTAGTGTCATACAAATTGTTAAGCAACGTGTCTAGATCATGCATGTCCTAGCCCTCAATTATAATGATCTTGCATCATGCTATTTAGAAAAATGTGTGATATAAGTAAGAATGAAGTGACAACTTTACCCTTACTTTTACTTTTTTCCTATCAACTTAAAGACATCTACTTTTAGGATGTTAGACAAAAGCATAAAAAACAAGCATCATTTATTATTATTCCTTAATACTTTGTGTGGCTGTCAAATTTTGCAATTCAATTCGGGAGTACTATAAAAACATTACAGGCTACTATCTCCTCTACTGACACAGTCAATACTTTGTGTGGACTAATTTTTACCACAAATGTATTTTCCCTACACAAAATGCTTATGGAGGTAGAAGTTTGTTTCCTCAGTAGTACTAATATGAGGAAATGGAAAAACAGAAATGCACAAATAACACTAAAACCTAATTCTTTCACATAAAAACAACTCTTATTTTAGCAATTTTGAAACTATTGTTACTAAAATTCGATGAGAATTAATAGCGCAGTCAACTTCAAGAATTTATTTGAATGTTTTCCCGATTGAATTTTTAGTTCAAATTTGATATGACCAAACTAGATTTAATGAATAAGATGTTAAAAAAATTCATCAAAAAACTCGAAGACATCTGGAGCATGAATTGACCAGAAATGAACATTAATCGGTTGATTATAGGAGACTGCTGAGGTGAAGACCGGATTTTTCTTGATTTTCTTCAAAGCTAGCTTTGGGTGTTTACCATGAAAAAGAGTAAGAGGCATCGAAGGATGCTGTGGAAATTTGTAAAAAGGTGTCTTTGAAGAAGGTAAAGCTGTCTTCAATTCCTAATCAAACTTCACACCACTCGATTCTCCATCATCACCCAGAAAACTTTAACCGGCGACCAATCGAAGCGGAGACACGCTGCTTTATCCCACCGAATAGCTAAAAAAAAATTCACTCAACAAAAACTTGTGGTATTGAAGGATGAAAGGATGGTGTGGTATTAAACTGAAAAATTGTGGAGTAACATATTTATACTACAACTTCTATGATGCTCCGCTGGTTCGAGAGTAATGAACCCAACGGTTCACAGCATGCATTTTAACTTAAAGTACACATAAATAAATGCTAGATTCTATGGTACCTAAAAGGTACAATACCTTTGTCCACATGGACCAATGAGAATGTAGCAGTTGAATTATTTAAATCTAAACTAAAAGTGATAAAGTGATGTGGTCCAATCAAATGAATGGTAGGTACGGTACCCCATTTTTTAAAAAGGTACCGGAGTTGTCACCTAAATAAATTTGGAAGGACAACGGACTACACATTAATACCGAGTACTGCGTGCTTCGTACTAACTACTCCCTCACTCCCATTTACTCTCTCCGATTTTTAATAAACTTCACACTTTTCTTTTTGGGACGGTCTAAAATAAACTTCACACTTCCTTATTTCCCTTTTTGGCAAAGAAATCTACATCAAAACAGTGTCAAACAGTGCCAAACAGTGTCTCAACAGTGCCAAACAGTGTCTCTACAATGCCAAACAGTGCCTCAACAGTGTACTCTACAGTAAAGTTAATTTTCTTTCCTTATTTTGTGTGAAGTCAAACTGTGAAGATTAAAAAAAACCGGAGGTAGGATTTTGTAAAATTTCCTATTTTGATTGTATCAAAATGATTTTCCACATTCTATTTTAGTTTTATAAATAAGAGTAAAGTGAAAAATGTATTTTACTTTTACATTTTCTCAATCAACTTAAAAGCATGTACTTTTTAGGATGAAGGATAAAAGTTTAACGAGCATCATTTATTTTCGTTCTTTAATTTGTATGTCAGCTAAAGTTTGCCATTCGGGACGGAAGGGGTATTTCAAATTTTCGAGTCAATCGATAAAGTCAACTTCTTAAACAATTGGTAGTTCACTAGTTCACAATTCAACAATAAGAGCATCTCCAATGATAAATGTGCATGGTGCACACGTGGCATGAAAAATAGCCACATAAATATTAGTAAATAAATTCTTTCTCTCCTTATTTGAATGATTTTATACAGTTTTGGTAAGTTTTTCTCCACACTGTCAAGGAGACCGTCTAGATGTTGACATTGTTGTTGACATTGCAGGGAAAAACTTACCAAAATTGTATAAAATCATTCAAATAATGAGAAAAATAATTTATTTGCTAATATTTATGTGGCTATAACTCATGCCACATGTGCACCGTGGACATTTTAGCATTGGAGATGCTCTAAGATTCCACAATTGTAACACGCAACCTAATTGAAAAAGGAACAATCTTGTCTAATCTGCCAGTACAGTGCAATAAAGGTGAGCTCTTTTGTGTAACCCGACCCGACCCATAGTTGATATGGTTGTTTGGGCGGGAAAATTGGCTTGGATTCCACCTCCTTTTGTATAGAGTATATAAAATATATTCCCTCCGTTCCAAAATTAACTTCTCACTTTCCTTTTTGGGTAATCCCGAAATTAATTTCATACTTTAAAACTTTTCTTATTTGGCAAATAATCTACATAAAAAAAGTGTCAAACAGTGTTCAAACAGTGTCAAACAGTGTTTAAACAGTGCAAAACAGTGCACTCCACAATAAAGTCAAATTTATTTTCTTAATCTGTGTAAAGTCAAACTGAGAGGTTGATTTTGGGACGGAGGTAGTAAGATTATGTAGGGCATGTTTTTCCCCCAAAAATTATCTACAAATTTTATATCCCTCAATAAGTTGTTTATCCCTATAAAATAATGGAGTACACACTACGTATAATTTTAAATTGATTTAAATTTCCCCATAACGTTTTGTGCATAAGAAAATAACAGATGTCAATATAAGCGCAAATGTTTTCATTAGGGCAAAATGCATATGACATTAATAGGAAATGTGTTCCAACTCTATATATAAAGTTGGTTCTTAAATAAGTGCAACAGTCAACAATTCACATTTGCTGAGACACAAATTTGATCATTAATATATATATAACTCTCTATTGGTAAAAAAATTAAAAAAATCATATTTTGAAAATTTACAATGAGACAAATTTAGTAATATTTTTTTCAAAAATATATATTAATACATCAATAAATAAAATGTAGTCAAAATAGAACATGCGAATAGTCTAAAATTTGCAATGTTGCACTTATTTAAGAACGGAGGTAATATTATAAAGTATTATTACCTCAAATGCTTTTAGTTCGTGTGTGTTGTGGCTAGCACTTGATCATAGTTTTCGGTCATGAAGTATGCATAATCGCCGGATACTGTGAACAAGATGGGCTTCAAGAGTGGGGCTTAGCTTGCTGGTCGCCGGATGATGGGAGGGGTCGCCGTAGGCCGCTTAATGAAAGGGAAGGTGGGGGATTATTGAAGGAATCAAATTAATACGGAGTAGGGTTGGTGGGGATTAATTGAGTAAAGGGTCAGTTTGGTCCTCGAAGTTGCAAAAAAGGGGTCAAATAAGTCCTTATATAGAAGATTCTGTCCGGACGTGCCATTTGAGGTGGCTCCCGGTAGAATTTTTTGGTGAAATTTTTTGAGCATCTTATTTATTAAGTCTAGTTTACTCATACTAAATTTCAGCTAAAAATTCAATCGGGGAGACATTCAAATGAATTCTTGAAGATAACTGCGCTTTTAACGACACTGTTATCTTCAAGAATTTATTTGAATGTCTTCCCGATTGAATTTTTATCTAAAATTTGGTATCAGTAAACTAGACTTAATGAATAAGATGCTCAAAATATTTCATCAAAAATTTCCACCGGGAGCCACCTCAAATGGCACGTCCGGACAGAATCTTCTATATAAGGACTTATTTGACCCCTTTTTTGCAACTTCGAGGACCAAACTGACCCTTATCCCGGGATTAATTAATACCTGTAGGTAAGATGGACATCTTTTACACCTGCTACACGCTATATGTTGGATTAATGCATGGCAGGGAATTACCTTCCAAGAGTGAAGGCTGGGGATGGGTATGTAGTGGACATCTTTAATGAGTTTAATCGTTTATGAGAAGAAAGTTTTGGTAGATTTTTGAAAAGTTTTTCTCTTTCACCATTTTACACTTAACACGTTTTTGTGGAGTCTAAGGTTGACCATCCTTGTATGTACTTCGTGTATAAGGGAGTGTTTGCAATCACTTAAAAAAAAAGTACTTCTCAACTTTTGGCTTAAAAAAGCACTTATTTACCAAACAATATCAATTTTTACATTTTCTCGGCTTGCGTGTGAAAAGTGTTTTTCCCCCTTCTATTACACAAAAAGCACTTATTTTACCAAACACTATCAACTTTTTACTTTTCAAAATCACTTTTTTCTCAAACACTATCAACTTTTCCTACTAATCACTTTTTTCTTACATCTCCAAAAGTGCTTTTTTTAAGCAGAAGCAGTTGCAAACACTCCCTAAGTATGTAAACTGCTTCCTATATTTTTGTTAACAAAGATGTTGGAGCATTTGTCCAACACCGAAAGCTACTAGTATAAAACAATTAAACACTATATAAGGCCTTGGGCTACTCCTCCTATCATGTTGACCTTTTAGGATGGAATGCCTTAACAAAAGAGGATAATGAATTGTACCATGTTTATAACGTCTCCTTTAATTTTGATTTATATTTACATACTTAAGGATGTTTTTAGTCGGAATGTTTTCGGTCCTAAACTAGAAAAGACCAGACTTAAACAGACTTGATTTTCGTAGTTATAAATACATAGAAACCAGACGCATACCAGACTAGACCAGAACTAAATGAACCAGACCAGAACAGACTTAAACAAACCAAATCAGACCAGTAAATTACAGTCCAAGTAAAAACATCCTTTGTAGATTTTTTACGGTGAATAGTATGTATTGTCCTCCATTTTTTTAATCGCAACATGTTGAATTTTACACTATTCACATGTTCTACTTTGACAACATTTTACGCTATTATTTTATGAAAATTTTTATTTTTTAAAATATTATTCAATTCATCTCATTACAAAGTTACAAAATCTGTTTTTTAATTTTTTTACTAATAAAGATTAAGATATAATTATGGTCAAAGACGTGTGCGTTGGCAAGTGTGAAATGTTGACCGTTGCAACTAGAAAAGAACGGAGGAGGAAGTATATAGTTGGGTGCTCCCCTTTCCAAGTATTTTGATTTTTTATAGTATATGGAGTAATAACTTGTTAATAGCTTTTTAGTTATTTTCTAATCATTTTTTTATGATATAGTTTGATTTAGGGCTGGTTTGCAACCACTTTAAAAAAAACATTTCTCACCTTTTGGCTTTAAAAAAGCACTTCTTTTACCACACTACAACTTTTATTTTTCTCGGCTTTCGTGTCTGTAAGGAATAAATGTAATTAGATTTTGATGATGCTAGGATAATTAGATTAGAATTTGAGAGTACCCCTACTTAGATTTTATGTATTAGAATTTTCAGTTGTAAGTACTAGTATAATCGACTATCAGAGTTGCTATGTGGATCTGATCAGAGCTGCTATATGAGAACTGCTTTCAGAGTCGCTCTCGGAAATCATAAGAGTTGCTCATCAGAGAACCATCAGTGTTGCTCTTCAGAGACTCGTCAGAAGTCTTCATCAGAAAGACATCAGAGTTCGATGAAAAAGCTTCATCAGAATCCAACTCCAGAGAAGTATCAGAGTTCCTCATATAAGTCCATCAGAACCCAAGATCAGAATGTCATCAGAGAAGCTCATCAGACTCCGTTTTACACTTGGAAGATTTCGAAGCTGTCTTCAACGGCCGGGAAATCCTTTAACGGCTAGGAGATATTTCATCCAAGGAAAGCATTCAATGCTCATTTAATGAGCCTGATACGCTGTGGAGTAATTGCAGATGATTGACCGAGAATCCTGGAGAATATTATACAAAAATGGAAACCTGCCAAAACTGCGGGTCCAACTGGTCAAATCCACAGTACGCGCATTTAATGCAGTTGTCTCCTCCTCCAACGGGCAGACAACCCAA